ACATTACGTATCGACAAAAATATCGAAAAAAATTTCATAAAAATTGCCCCAAACGTGATTCGAACCAAAAGAACCATAAACCTTTGCAAGTGCCTTAACCCTTGCGCCACCACAGCTACTTGATATTACATAATTTTAATTTTTATTAAAACAAAAATGGCTCAACTTTAAACTCCCCCCGACGGACGACCACCTCACCGTGGTGGGGGGGTATGTTCCCAATGTTCCCAATAGGCTTCCGATCATTACTGGGTCTCTAGTCGGCGGATACTAAGTGTCCTTCTGGTTGACCTGAGCCGTAATATAGGTAGCAGTCTCGTGCTGTGACCCTGACCAATGGGTCTCTTAACATCAGTTTTTTGGAAGTACTGTGCAGTACCTGTACTGTGCAGTACTAAAAGGTGACCAGTCTAACTGGTAGGCTTTATGATATTGTATTTATTGTCTCGTCGTTACAAACGGCGCAATGTAATATGAATGGATTAGGGTCGAAAACCTATAAATGAGTCTTGCATAAATTTGCTGCAGCCTAGCCTTGTTTTCCTAGAAGCCTCAGTCATTTTCGTCTCGCGTGCGGGACATTCTTAGCAAAACAAAGTCGCCGTCGCAAAAAATAACCTAACCGGTTCCATGCGGCGGGGTGGAGACGGGCGAATTTTATGTTAGGGCTCAACTTTAAACTTTAAACTTTATAATTTATTGTCCACTTTATATTTTATCCAATGTTTTAGTACTGATGCAGTTGCGTTGTATAGATAATTTACTATGAATGTTTCGGGTCTTTTGGATCTGCGGTGCCTGACGTAAGATCGCCACCATTTTTGAATCCTGTAAGCAGCAATACCCTTTCCAATTTTTTTGAATGATTAGAGCTGCGGCTTCAAGTCTTTGGTTTCTATCTTTTGAAAAATCTTGACACTTGGATGAAATCATCTCGAGTGTTTGCAAAGTATCATCTTTGGATGCATTTAGTCGAGATTGATCAGGCTTTTGAGTTATCATAGTAAAATTTTTTCGAACTTTATATCCTCTCCAGTGTTTCTGTATTGTTTATGCTGCGTTATATGGAACATCTACTATATATGTTTCCGGTCTATCAAATTTGCGTTGTCTCAAGTAAGATCTCCACCACTTTTGAATCTTGCAAGCAGCAAGTTTTATTTTGGAGAATTGTTTTCGTGCTAAATATCCTTTCCAATTTTTTTGGATGATTATAGCTGCAGCTTCGAGCTTTCGGTCTCTTTCATTCGGTAAATCAATTTTTCAATGTATTGGTGATAAAAGTGTTGCCTTCCTCAACTTTACCGATGAAGGCTCTAAATTTATTTTCGGAAGTCTAGTAAATGATATTTCTGATAATGAAAGTATTTTCGCATTTAAAGTGAGTAAAACTTCTTCGTGTATTTAATATCATTTGATTAGTCGGTCTTATTTTTCTTTCAGGTTTTGCCTATCATAATATTTTTTAGCTTCACTGTTTCGGTTCTTTATTATTATGAAATCATGCAAATCATGGTGATTAAACTCGGTTGGTTGCTTCAAATCTCTGTTGGATCAACTGCTTGTGAGTCTCTGCCAGCGGCAGGAAACCTTAGGCAATCTTAGGAATGGTTGGTTCAATCAGACCAATTTTATGTAAAATTAATTAAACAATTTTTTGGATTGATGGATGAATATGAATTGTACTATATTGGTCAACCAGATCTAATGCCAAAAACACCGCTAAAGCCTAGTCTAGCCGGTAAAATATTGCCATGTCTAATATAGTTTTCCCATTTGTTATGATTAGTCATCTAAATTTTTGTTTGCTTGCATTTGCATTTTTTGATGGATCGTCAAATCTCGAGGTTTCTGTGAAATAATTGAAGAGTAACTGTAATCAGTTATCAGTTCACTTGACAATTGTGAATGTCACTATGAATGTCTAATCAAGGATATAACTCGAATGAGCTGTAAAAATGTTCTTTATATCACAAGTTTCGTCGTCATGAGTCGTTTAGCATCCAAAACAAAATTTTATCCCTAGATTTATCTTTATTCAAATTTTGTACTGTCAAACCTCCAATAATGTCACTTCGTGGGATTAGCGTTTTGGCTATTTTTACATAATTTCTAGGTGGAATAGCCATTTTACGAATCTTATTTAACAAAAAAAATTAATTTTTAATTTAATTTTGAGATTTTTGATGTTTAATTGGGCAATTCGTATAATATACCCAATTAAAACCATTATTGAAGACCTCGCAAAATTTATTTAATTAAAAAACTGAATTAAACTAAATTGTTTAATTTCGTTACCATGACTCTGTGACATTTTGAGAGTGTGACATTATTGGAGGTTTGACAGTAGTTATTTTTCTTTTGATTTCGATATTAACTGAATAGCGTTATAAATTAATTTATAACATATACACTAGTAGTCAGGGTTAAGTTAATAAAAAAGGGTCAGATTTAAGTTAATTTTTAAGTGTCGCCATCTCGAGTATTTACCGTTTTCAAAGACACAAAACAATGAAATCTATGAAAAATTAAATTCGATCTTAAAGGTACTTTTATTTCTTGTTAGATGGCGACTATGAAAAAAATCTCCACTTTTCTTAACTTAACGTTAGCCTAGTGGTTAGCGTTGGCGATAAGACTGCTAATCTTCATATGTTGTTCTCTGCATCTTGGGGTTAGCGTTCGAATCTCGCCCAAGTCCTGAAGTTAAGGCGCATACAGTAGAGCTTACTCAGGGTTAAGCCCCCTGGACTATCCCATCCTCCCTTCCTGATGGATTCCCAGCTAAGCTGGATAAAGCCTGGCGCCTATGGGTCGGTAAAACACCTAGGTAGCAAGGGGTAGACGGCGCCTTAAAAGCTGTCGCGGCTGGCCGGTCCACGCAAGAAAATCTATTAACTTAACCCTGACTACTAGTGTATCGTGAAAAACATTTATTTAGTGCATCACTCAAAGAGTAAAGGAAGGAACCACCTTTGGCATCACCTGATCAGTTGACTTTAGTAACTCAAACGTTATAATTTCAGATATAATAATAATGTCAACCTTGTTTTTAGTTATTTTGCCTTTCATTTTTATTGACATTTAATTTTCAACCACCGAATCAATTTTAAAAGAATCATTAAGATCTAAAAATTACTTAGGTTTAGCAAACAGCTTTTTAATTACATCTAATGAATGAAAATTGGTTGAAAATTATTTCATATTAGCAAATTTATGCAAAATTTAAAAGCTAAACATTGAGAAATATTGACTTGAATATAATGTAGCTTGAAGCAAGTTAATTCATTTCAATTTGTTCAGTGTGAATTTTGATGTAGTTTATTCGCAGTTTTTTGGATGAAAATTTGTCAGCCATTTAATCGGCTATCAATCTTAACAAACAAGTTAAAACCATCAAAATAAGACTTGAATCTTCAAAGTCTTGAAAGTTGATCTCCAGTCAATCAAGAGTCAACCTCATCAGACTTGAGCTTTTCTCTGCCATGCTACTGTTTTACATGTTAGTGTATCTATTGTTTAATGAGCAAAGAATTCTTGATAACTGTTTAAATATTACTTCGCTAATTGTTATTTGTGAATGTTGAATGTAAATAAAACTGGATTTATATTAATAACCCGTTAGGTGTCTCTTAGTTGTCGAGCGATGTCGATCTGAATCCTGAATTTTGGCTCCTCCTGGATGCAAAGTTAGTCAAACTCAGTTGAAGTTATTTGAATGATTTCTTGAAATTTCAAGACTTTAGATTATGACTTTCAACAATCAAGATGATTATGTCTAATTTCATTAACCTATCAATTGTTAATAATGGTTACTTCAGATGAGATAAATGCCAATATAACATGGATGGCTGATAGATTTATGTTATTTGCAACAAGATTTTTACTCGGTCTGTTGGTCAATGTTTCGGGTAAGTTTTCCTTTACATTTTAACCTTTCTAAACATTTTCCTTTTGATTTTCACGATTATTTTAGTTTATTTCAACCTTTCCTTGTTTCAGTCACTTACAATTGTAGTTAAATCCTTTATTAGAGCTATTATTTTATTTATTGTTATCTTCTGAAGACTCTTTATTAATATCTGTTATTTTTCACTTCTCTTGCCTATACAATGCAACTTATTTTGCCACTTGATTCGCTGATTATTTTATGGTGATTACTCTCTGGTTATTCTGGTGTCTGGTGATTATGTTCATTTCTCTCGGTCCATCAAACATTGACTTGTTTGTTCATCATCATCGTCGTCATAATTATGGTTGTCCTTTTTTGTTTTCAATTTTATAAATACATGAAGCCTCAGAGTCCAAGGACAACTTGTTAACATCGGCTATCCACATCGTTTCATTATATTATGGCTCAATATACAGGTATACAAAAAAATCCTTACTTGATGTTGCAATTGAAGAGGGACAACCCGAGGCTGTTAAATGTTTGGTAAACCTTGGTGAGTCTATTGATCGAGTTAATCTACAAGGTAAAAGTCCGCTTCATTTAGCAGCTTCGCATGGCCAACTTGAAATTGTTGAGTTTCTCCTAAGTAAAGGTAAATATTATTTCATCAGTTAAACCATTTACTTTCTTCATCATTTATTATTAGAGTTGGACATTCTATCCCTGAAATTTGTTGCACTTCTGGTCCCACATCAAAGGCTTATAATTATTTCAGGATCAGATCTTGAACATTATCAAAAATATTAGTCATACTTGAGTGTTTCTTTGTTTGTCAACAAATCATGAGACTTGACTTACTCAAATTTCATCTAAATAAGGATATAAAATTGCATTTGTTTCCACGATTCTTGAATGACAGCAAATTTTTCCTCGTTTATTGATAACACTTTCAAAAATTTAACCATAAACTAACAATTTTTTTCCGAGTTTTCCACTTTTTGCATGACTGTGATGATAAACCTAATGATGGTTGGTTTTTATTGAATGATTTTGCCTTTTTCATGCCTGTGAAATCCTATTTTGATTTATTTATTACCTGTTTCGAAGGCCATTTTAAATTAGTAACTACACATCTGATTGGTTTAAGAAAACCTTTTCTTATTTTAACTATCGGGTACACCTGTAGCTAGACCGGCCCTTAATAATAGTCGTCACTTTTGATCACCGCATTCAACAATCAGATTGTTTATTACGTTTTGTTTATTTGCCAAGAACCCAAACTGGAACCGATCAAAAATGTGTACGAAAATTTTCTTGCAGATATTTGCACCTTGATAGAGATTCTTTTGTTTAATTGTTAAGTGATATTGTCAGCTGATTGGATTGTTTCTAGGTTAATTACAAAACTTGTTTTCAATAATAAATACCTTTCCAAGTTAATCATATAATTGGATTGTTTAAATTCATTTTTTTCCTGCTTCACATAATATTATTTAACATCGCATTGCTATTGTCAGTGTACACGAAATATCATTTTACTTGAAACATTCATTGTTCAAACTAATAGTTCAGTTATTATTGAGATACTTAAAACAATCAATCAATTTTATTTTTCGATTTACGTCGATTTTCTAGCTCAAACATAATAAACGTAATTTGAGTATTCAAATCTTTCTATCGATTGTTCCATTTGTTTTAATTATTCATTATCTTTCTGCTTTTTGTTTTGTTTCAGGAGCTGATGCTTCTTGTTTAAGCTTACCAACGATTGGCGATGACAATGAAAATGATGGTGTCGATGAGAAACCTGTGACTTATAATCAAACACCTCTTCATTTAGCTATCTCCAATGGGAACAAGTCAGTTGTTGAATGTTTCATCAACCATTTGAACAGCAATCAATCAACAATTGCTGATGAGTCTTTGGATCTAGAATTACCAAGTAATTTGAATATCAAGGACAGTCAAGGATTGACTCCGCTTTGTTTGGCTAAAAAATTGAACCATGAATCTATTGAGAGGCTTTTGGAGGAAACAAATGATAACAATGAAGTTCTGATCAACAATAGAGTTAATCAGGTTGATCAAATCTGTATTGCAAGAAATATTAAACCTGAGACATCACCAGATATTAGACCGTTAACAGCATTGAAATCAAATTTTACAACCGAGATGAAGATTGATGAAGAAAAGAGTGAACAGCTTGACAGTTCTGAAAGTCTAGATTCTTGCAAGGAAAAAGATTCAGAGCAAACTGTACAGCCACCTTCTCTTCCACCGGCACCAGAAAAACTGATTCAACGACGTGATCCACTGACTCGACTTCTTAATCTACATTTAATCATGAAATCAGATAATGAAATAAGATATGAAGGTAAATTATCCAATAGTCCATCATCTCCTCCAGTTGGTTATATTGCGAAGAGAAAGGTTTCCTTTGTGACTGAATATTTTGAGAAGATTGAATCTCGACGGGAATCTCTTTATCGAACTGATAGTGGACGATGGTCAACTCCAGATACAAATTCGATGTCAGATAAAAATGGCAACATTTTTTCAGGAGCTTGTAAAAGTATCCAGTGTGAAGCAAACAAGGAACAAATTTCTGAACCTTTGACTATCCATGAAGTAGCTAACAATGGAGCAGTTGAAATAGTCGCTTTACATATTGATCAGTTAACTTCAGTTGACATGGCTGACACTGATGGGAATACACCTTTGCATCATGCAGCTCGAGGTGGACAAGTAGCTGTTGTTAGATTTTTACTCTCAAAAGGAGCCAATCTTAAATGTAAAAATTCGGAAGGTAGGAATGCTCTTCATGTAGCTTGTTTTTCTGGAGATGAAGATGTTGTTCGAGAGTTGATTCTTTTTGGAATTGACCTCGAAGCAAGGGATAACGAGAAAAATACAGCATTGATTATTGCATCTTCACTGGGCCATTTGAAGATAGTTCAATTGTTGACTTCCAGTGGAGCTCAAGTAAATGTTAAAAATTCAAGGAAACAAACTCCACTCCATAAAGCCTCTTTTAATGGATTTGCTGATGTTGTTGATCATTTAATTGTAAAAGGAGCTCAAACCAATGTAGTTGATTCGGAAAAAGATACTCCTCTCCACCTAGCAGCCCACAAAGGGCACATAGAAACGGTTCGAATCCTTCTAGACTATGGAGCAACTAGCGATGTTAAAAATAAACTAAAACGTCAACCTTTTCACGAAGCTGCATATAACGGGTCAACTGAAGTAATGAATTTACTACTTTCTCGGAAAACTAATTTGAATTCAAAAGACAAAAATGGTGACACGGCTCTCAATTTAGCGGCAGCAATGGGCCATTCAGCAGTTATTGAGTTGTTATTGGAGAGAGGAGCCAGAATCAATCCAAAGAAAGATCGAACCACATCGGCTTTACACATGGCAGTAATAAATGAACACGTTGATTCTTTAGAGCTTTTGTTAGAAAGAAAAGCCAACATTGCCGTGAAAGACAAGAACAATGACACTCCGTTACATTTTGCGTGTTCCCAAGGAAACACTCGCCTTGTTCAGACTCTTTTAAATTATCAGTCTCCTGTGAATGTTAAAGGAAGCAATGGAAGGACTCCTCTGCATTTAGCCGTTCTCAATGAACAAACTAAAATGATTAGTATGCTACTAGAAAAAGGTGCCGATAAAACAATTAAAGACTCTGATGGTAAAACAGCTCTACATTATGCCAAAGTGCGAAGTTATCAAGAAGCTATTCAAGAGTTGTCTGGTTAATAATCCTGAGGAACTACTTTATACCATTTATTGGTTATCATCATTCAATCTTCACCCAAACTCATCACTTTTATATTCTCTAATTAATTTGAAAAATTTTTAGTTTCAACTGTCAACATTAACTCTTATGACAATCTTCACAACTGATTTGTTAAAATGATTTGCCAAGATGCTCAAATTTTTTAACTTCAACTTTTAATATACTCATTGTGCAATTTTCAATTTACGACCGTAGGATTTCAATTCTTGGTACCCAATAACCTGTTTTACTCAGATCGTTCCTGATTTGTATCTACCCAGTGCTTTCAACAACATCTATCATTTTCTGTGTAAATTCACTTGATTTATAACAAGTGACTATTTTCACTATCAATTTCACTCTTTCTCACAATTTTGTAATACTTTCCAAGTATTTTAATATTAACATACTTTTTATAGCATCTATATTTAATTTGGACTTAATTCCTTTGAAATTCATCTGAAACGATTTAAGTCTACTTTAATAATAGTTAAAATCTACGAATTTTATTTGATAATAAAATTTTTAATTTAAAACGTACCGTTTGGTTCATATTAATTTGCTTGAATTTTATTTCATGTATTATAATGTACAATCTAAACCTAAAAGGGTGTTAGAAGAAAAACTGATTTTTAGTTTGTTCATAGTTTTATCAATTTCACTGAAAATTTGTTCACTGAATAAATGTTGATCTATATTCTGGTTTCACCAAGTTTTTAATCATTTATTGATGAAACCGGTCAGAACTATACAATTTTATTTGATGGATTCTCAATATAAATGAAAAAGAGAGAAAGCGATCTCTTTGTTCCTGACTTATTTTAAAAAACATCCTGAAAGATTCAGTTGAAACAAAGATAGAAGATTAATATGAACAGTGAAAATTAGTACACATATGAAAATTAAATTGTGTCTTGTTAAATTGCAACTCTTAACAAAAAGTTCAATATTAAACCAATTCAAATTTTAAAAAACCCTCTCCATAAAACCTGTTCAATTAGCGCTCACTAGTCGGAGCTACAGCAGCATCAGCTTACAATTTGTTGTCCAAAAATTTTAGATTGAATTTCGTTGGCAATCGGTATCATCTAATTTTGTACAGTTAATTGAATTGTCAATGAAATAAATATTCTATTTTCCTTTCTATCTTTGAATTAAATCAAATTGTTTTGTATGTGTTACATATTACTGACTGGCAAATAAATACAATGGGTGAAGATCCGTTGTTTGAGATGAGAAATGCTTTTTACATTGGCAATTTTCAACATTGTATCAATGAAGCTCTCAAAAGCAAGGTAAAAAAATTGATTTCATTTTGGGTGTTAAAAATAGGCGATCTAAATTGATGTCTCGCTTATTTTATTTTAATTTCCACTTCATCATATCTTTTTTTATCCTATTTCAGGTAAACTCGGAAGAAAAAGATATTCTAATGTATCGGTCTTACATTGCTCAGAAAAAGTATGGTGTTGTTTTGGATGGTATTACCGCATCAGGATCATCTAATCTTCAGGCTTTGCGTTTGCTTGCAATGTATCACACTGAAAAAGACACCGATGCAAAGTAATAAAATGATTCAACTTTTTTTCTCTTCTCTATAACACATCCAGTTTTGAGACGTGTCATTAAGAGTCATAATCATTTGAGATACAACTTTTATGCAATGGTTCAATCAACAATGGTTTATGCTCTTTTGGTGACATCTCGACAATTATTCATCAATAAGATATTTTTTACAATTATTTCATCTTATGACTCTCTTTTAGAGCTAAAATAGCTGAAAAAATCTTTAATATGGCAAATTTTGCGTCGACCTCGGAAAATCCTGATGATTACGTTAAACTTTTGGTTGCTGCGATCGTTCATTGTAATGAAGCTGTAGCTTTAAGAGTTCAACCCGATGCTGGACTGCGAGTTTTACATGCTTCTGATCATATTGAATGGTAACTAGTCCAAAAACAATAATGAATTATTTTTCTCATTTGTTTTGGCCATTTTCATCCCCCAAGCAACAGCAGTTGAACAGCTCTGCCCACATACTGTTTCACAGTGACAGAGTAGTTTGAGAAGTCTAGTGTTTACAAATCCTTTGTGCACTTCCTCACTTACAATAATTCATCATAATAACAAATTGGAAGACAAGTATATTTGAGAAATTTTATCAAAATCAGTTGTCATTCCCTCAGATAAACATCACCGAATTAGAAAAGGAAGTGAGGTAATCTGATTCAGATTTTCATATTTATATTTATATTTTTTATTTGATACCTAGTTAGGCCCAGAAGAAGCTTGTATATAGTTCAAGTTGAACATAGACTCTAACTCATGGCTAACGTATAATTTATCATTTAGTTCATAATATTATTAGATAAACCTAGAAAATAACAAGAAAGTTAGTTTTCGATACGCTAATCTAAACTGATTGCTTAAAAAGTACAAAATTGATTGAGATTATTTCAAAGAATCAATCATCAGTCATCGATTAACACTTATTTTTCATTGTTATTTGTTAACAGTATTGCTATGATGCTTCAAATCTATCTGATGCTGGATCGAGTTGACCTTGCTCGTAAAGAACTGAAAAAAATGCAAGAAAAGGATGAAGAAGCAACTTTAACTCAGCTTGCTCAGGCATGGATCAATATTCATGTTGGCGGCGAAAAGTTCCAAGAAGCTTATTACATTTACCAAGAGTTAGCTGATAAATATGGACCAACTCCTCTCCTCTTGAATGGAATTGCTGTTGCCCAAATTGGTCAAGGAAAGTACGAGGAAGTGGAATCAATTTTACAACAAGCTCTTGAAAAAGATAACAACAACCCCGAAACACTGATAAACTTGATTCATGTTTCTCATCAACTTGGTAAACCGCCGGAAGTTTGTAACCGATTCCTCAGTCAGCTTAAAGATTCTAACAGCATTCATCCTTATGTTAATGATCTTCAGTCTAAAGAGAATGAGTTCGAAAGGTTGACCAGGCAATACACTTTGCAGTTCGAGTGAAGAAATGTCAATCAAAAATCAACTAAAAGCAAAATTCTTAATCTATTTTCCTTTTCTTTTGTATTTCAAGTCTTTCCAGGAGCTATGAAAGCCTGTTTCTTAAAAGATTGAAACAATTTAAATGAGCCTAATTATGCCAAGCTTGCTTGCAGAAAATTTTAGAGACTATTATGATATATGTAAATGGATGATTAAATTGGTTATCAAGTAGCCTTCCTCTAATTTTTAATCAAACACAATCAAACTTTATCTTGGTAATTTTTTAGCAATTCATAAAACCAGCAAATTATTTCAGTAATTGAAATTTAATAAAAATAGTGTTGTTAGATTGCAATCAAGATGCATGATCAGGGTTGGATTGAATGCAATCTTAAACCACATACAGGCACCTGTAGTTGATAAGAGGAGCAAGTTGTCATGATTTTGCATCTTGTTCTAATTCAAGATGGATTCAGATTGAGTGAGTGTGGTGAAAGGTAAAAAATTAGAAAAGAGTAAATTTAAAGATACAAGAAAAATGAACAATTGGTACAGGAGATATTTACATAGTGATTACTTAAATTAACTTAGATTTGGTCTTTGAGCACTTTTGCTCGTGATATTAAACTGTGGAAATGCTAGTTCACTTGAAAAATACAATAGCAATTAAAGCTGACATTGAAATGATTAAAATACTTGGATAAGTTGAAGTGGCTTTGAGCTGTAAAAGATAAAAAATAAAAATCATTGAATTTTCTAAATACACAAACTACAATAAGTAAGATTCATCAATACTCACAGTAACAAAGTAATTGCATCTATCACCGGTGCAACATTCAACACATTCCCAGTCGTTATACCAGATCCGATCACACCTGGATAAATGTTTTTTATATTCTTGGTCGCAAACATCTTTGGAGGCACATTTTTTCGTTATATAATATTGTTTTTCGCCACTGGGAGCCCAATACGGTGTACCTACAGATTATTAGAAATGAAAAAGTTAGTCCAGTAAAGATCTTTTGAAAAAGCTGAAAAATGAATTAACATATTAACGTGTGTAAATCAACTTACTTCCCCAACGAATTCGTGACAGGCATCTATCTTGACCATGGTCACAATTTTTAACGGTTTCAACACATTTATCTTTATTATCCTCTTGATTGGAGCAAACATAGCACTCTAAACCATTTACTTTGGTGAAAAATGAAAAATCAGTTAGGCGAGGTCAGGTAAAAAGATATCTTTTAGTGAGCTTACCTCGGTTTGAGAAAAATAATAGAAAAACAAAATTGATGAGTATAAAAGTGAGATTCATTGTAGCTGCCACAATCAATTAAAGTTTTTTTTGAAATTTGAAAAACTTAAAAACTATTTTCTACATTTATTGATAAAAACAAAATAAGCGTAACAGCACTCAGGTGTTTAAGGCAAGTATAAGAAAGGTAACAAGGAAAGGTAAGTATTGACCTTTCCTTGTACAAAAGAAGTATTCAACAGAATATTGATATCATCGATAGTATCGATGTCTTTAAAATTTCCTGTAATTACAATTGTTTGAATTGGACGGAGTTATTAAGTCCTGTAAAAACAAGCTAAATTTTTAATGGTATAAACTCTTAATGATTTACAGTCAATATTCCCAAAATGAGACTAAATTGGCTTAGCTTTTTGTCCTATGTCACTCAATGATTTTAATTAATTAATGATCAAATTGCTACAAATTTTATAATTTTTGTTAATTTATCGTCATTGAGTCCGATTAACACTGAATTTTAATTATAATTCGGTTAAATTTTGTAAATTTTTTGAAAAAAACAACGTTATTTAATTAGTAACCTTGACAACGTCTCATTTTGAGATAGTCTCATTTTGGGAATATTGACTGTACTGTAAATTTAAAGATTTGGGTGATTTGGTTCATATGTTGATCTATACTAAACATAGTTTAGCTTAATCTCTTTCCAAATTTTTCTTTAAAATGAATCTTGAATTAAAAAACGGTAAATTATGGTAACTTCGAAAAATTTCATCTGAATAAATGTACAATGTTTTTTATAGAAACAAACTGCTATAAAAATGGGTTAATTAAACATCGAGTTGATAAATTAACAAGATTAAAATGTCACAAGTTTACAAAATATCTATCATCTTTTTTAAAAGAATGCCAAGTATCGATTTCTAATTGTCTTCGAGTCTCTTCTATATCATTGTGTATCGCTTTGATTAGTGCCTCTAATGAGATAAAATTAGCTTCTTCCCGGATTTTACCGCAGATCAGAGAGTTGATTGTTAATCCATAGAAATCACAATTGAACTTATTTAACAGGTGAATTTCCAAGGCCTTTTCTTCGTTTTCATAAAATGGATTGTAACCTAAACTCGCGGACATCATGTATACAGGTGAGAACATCTTAGAATCATGTTTAACTAATATTGACTTCAAGTAGTCCTGTTGATCTGTTGAATAAAGAAAATAGAAAAATATTGAGAACACATCAGACAGTTGTCTAGGAAATATCGATTTGGTTCAATGTTTGTGTCAAGAAATCAAAGCATTAGCATGATATACATAATATGACTCCATTTAAAAATCTAATTTATCTCACACATGATAATAAATTCATCACAAATTATGAATGACCCACAACGCTCAAAATTTACATGTTCAATTTTTTATGTTTATACATTCAGTTTACCTTCCCTTTAGCAAGTACCTTGAGTCTATCTGTTTCAGAACAGTAAAATGAGAGATGTACTGGTTGAATTATACATTTAAGTTGATAGGAAAAGAATACAATTAGTTTAATTACCTTTTGATAGTTGTTTAAAATCATCTTCAGTTGTGGATAATTGAGACCATCCAAAATATATTCCAGTTGATAAAGGAATACTTTTAATCACCTCAGCTTCTATATTAGCAGTTGGTATACCAAGTTCAGATGAACCTCGACCAAATCCTTTAACCACTTTACCTGAAACATAGATTGGAAATCGTACGGTTTCGGTTTGTGTTTGTGTTTGACCTGACATAGTTGCTCTTTTAATAGGTTGTTATAGTTCGATCAAATATAAGTTGCTCGATTAAATAAATGAAGAAAGGTTAAGCATAGAACTATTACCACAAGGAGAAATAAGAAGAGTAACCTTACTCTGTGAGAAAAACTTGAAATGAACAGCAAAGACAATTATTGCAATTTGCTTACCTAAATACACAGCTCCTTGTGATCATTCTTTATCAAGATGGTTGCAATAGATATTATCATAATCAAATGGTAGTTACTCTTTAATCATGCTAATAGGTTAGGCATTGGATCTTATACAAATCTCAATCAGTACGAGATTGAAAAATCAAAAGACATGAAAGAAATGATTTTAATCGTTCCTTATAATCTTATTAGGTTTGATTTTGAATCGAAAAAGGTAAATATCTGATGATGCGCGTTTAATTATGCGCCAGCATGAAGCTTACAGAAATGAAAAATGACTGATTCAAAAATGGTCATTGATGTAAGAACCTTTCTTAATAAATGAACGAAATAATGACAAGATTAACGATCTCGATTTTAGATGGGATAAGTCTCAATTTACAAAGGGATATCTCCCAATTAGACAAAGAATCCGTCTTTTATTATCTGATGAAGATTAGTATGATTTTCTGCATCAAACTCATATGAATAAATATAAATTTGGCGATGAATATAAAATCATTTCTTGTTTCAATTGTCAATAGTTTTTATATCACTTCTTCTCAATTCTCTGTTTTTGTTATACAGAAGTTACAATTGTTGGATGTAATTTTTACTGTAAGGATTGAAGGGAAGAAGCTGTTAATCATTTTTCAAACAATTTGAGCTCATTTATTTACAGATGATTGTACAAGATTTTTTCATCTCGAATGGAAGCTAAATCTAAGATTAGAGCGGCACCAAAGACGTTGAGATAAGAGAGATCCATTTTTCTCGTAGGCTAGAGAGCTTCAGGGTTGATCATCAAGAGAGCATGACTATAGAGAGAATCACCGCAAAACTTAATTGTAGGCAGCTACAGATAAACTTTAAATTTGATTAATCTTATGAGATTATAGATTGGGTTTTAAATAGATGTTTGGGCTTGCACATCCTTCATAATAAATTCAACAACATCAGTTGTATTGTAGGTTCCACCAAGATCTGGTGTATGAATTTTTTCAATGTTTAAAACTTTGTGAATAGAATTTCGTATCACAGTTGCATGATAATCCAATCTCAAAAATTCAAGAAGATCAGCACTGGCGTTTATCATAGCTAGCGGATTAGCGACGTTTTTACCAGCAACAGATTTACCAGTATTCCGTGTTCCCTATTGAAATAAAATGATGGAATGAGAAATATGAACAAAATCAATCGAGTTCGTCAACTTACAGTTTCGAAAACTGCATGTTCGATTCCATAATTGCGACCTGAAGTAATTCCAGGCCCTCCGACTAGACCACAAGCAATATTGGTAAGTATATTACCATAAAGGTTTGGCAATAGAAGAACATCAAACTTGTGTGGATTCGATACCAACTGAAAAATAAATGGAACAGAGTGAATTTGTGAAACAATGTGATTGCTAATTCACAATGAGTTGACACTTACTTGCATAGAACAATTATCAATAATTATATTGTCAAACATAATTTCGGGATATTCTTTAGCTATTTCTGAACATGTATTCAAGAATAGACCATCTGAAAGTTTCATTATATTGGCTTTGTGAACAGCGGTTACCTTTTTACGATTATATTTGCGAGCATATTCGAAGGCATAGCGAGCAATTTGTTCTGATTTACTCTGAGTGATAATCTTTAGACTCTCAACAACTCCTTTTACATTTTCATGTTCCAGGCAACTGTATTCACCTTCAGTATTTTGTCGAATTAGTACAATATCGATATTTTTATGACGTGTGTTGATTCCAGGCTGACTACGACAATGGATAACATTGGCAAATAAATTCAATCGTAAACGTAACTCAACATTTCGAGATCGAAAGTTTCTGCTGTGCTCCCGTGTCTCAATGTTTCCTTTTAGTGCCACTCCATTTCTTCTGATTGCAATAACAGCTTCTTCGATGTGCTCAATATCCTCATGAGTTGAGTCTAAATTAAGTTCTTCGAAATCAACAGGGACTCCTCCAGCTCTTTGAAATAAAATCAAGATCATAAACAAAGTTAGATTGCAAGGAAATGGCTAACAAAATAAGACCAATCTCACTTGAAAATAGTTTTGACGTAAGACATCATTTCAGGGCCAATTCCGTCACCAGGAAGCATAGTTACCATAAATCTTCCTCCATACTTAGCTTTATAATTGGAAATAGTCGTCGATTGAAGATTTCGTTGGCCCTGAGTAACTCCAGCAGCAATAGGTAACTAAAAAAATATATTAAAAAACATATTAAAACAGGAAGAATAACAAAATTTTATAACCTATTTAAATGAGTGAGATTTCGAAACAGTTGATCCTGTTAATTCAATGATTTTAACTTACCTTTGCAATACCATTAGCTGGAAGAGATTTGAAGCTGTTAATCAGTCCTCCGGTAACACAATGTTTTAGAAGAGACATTTTTTAGAAGATTCAAGAAATCCAAATTAATTTAACAGTTTAATAAAAACTTCAATGAAATTATTAACCTAAAGCCCTTGGAATAACATCTGATTTGTAAGAAGGTAAATAGTCTGTCAATTATTCAGCTGCATTCTATGTCAGCTTATGAGCTGAGCTGAAACCAACGTCCAATCAAAGTGATTGGCGCTCTTTTAAAGTTACTTAACATTACATATTGTATCAAGAAGTGAAACATAAATACAGTATTTTCACGTAATTGATAAAGTAATCAAGGAATTAAAGCTTAATAATTATTATCAATTAATAGAAACCGATAGTTATTTTAACAATAACTAAGAATATCCAGAGATTCAATAACTATATTAAACAATTAACTGAACACTACCGATTTATTCGTATACACGAGGGAAAAGTGTAATTCAAACGCAATAAGGCCTTTAAGAAATAGTTATTTGACTTTTTTCATTGATGCATTAGAGTAAATATACAAATCAATTGCAAAAGAAATTGCTAATTGCAGTAATGTTTAAAAATATTACTCGTTGAATTTGAATATAATACATGTATATTGCTTAAAGAAAAGCTTCATCAATAGGATGTGGACTAGGTTTGATAGGATTCGTGCAATTAACTCGATAAACTGTTATTTTTGATAAATTTGGATTCATGACGGAAAATGGAAATGTTTCGATACCATTACATGCAGCTCCTGAAAACAAGAAAATAAAAGAAAAGTAAATTGTAGCGATTCGTTAAAATACAAAATGAATTCAAATCCAATAAAATAAATTTTGCTTACCGAAATTTCCATGGGCATCAGCAGCAATCAAAGCTAACATTGAATTTGGATAATGAACTGCCATTCTATCGATAGCATCTTTAGCAGCGGCTGTTGGACTCATTCCCATTCTAAGATTGACAACAACTTGATAGCTGCAAATGAGAAAAATAAATCAATTTTGATATCATTGAGACAATATAGCGACTTACGCTGGAGCAAATCTCATCGCAATGTCACCATCCCCTGTACCGGCAGCAGCTCCAACATCCTTTTCGGCATATGCACCAGCTCCAGGAATTGGAGAATCACCAACTCGGCTAAAAATTAAGAACTGACATTAGCCTTTAAAAAACACTCGTTACAGTGTATCATGCTCTGAATATTTCAGGCTCTCACCCAGGAATCTTATGATTCAATCCGTTAGTCGATGTACCAGCAGAGATGTGACCGTTTTCGTCAATCACAATCATACCAATAGTGTCGTGGTTGGGTTCATTTGACTTTTTAGGCGCTTTTATCGATTGAGTGAGCTTGGATGATGATTTTGGGTGATAAGGACCACATTGTTTTGTAGGATCGGGTAAAACATTGACCCAGAAATTGGGTTGACATTGCTCTTCTTTCCATTGTCTATAAATGTTTTTAGAATTGTTAGAAGTTAAACTTGTCTCCTGAAATCCCATGGAGATTGCAAATTGGGTAGCTTGATCACCAACCAATAAAGTATGGTTCGTATGGTCCATAACTTTACGAGCCACAGATATTGCCTGTTTAATTCGCCTTAATGATCCGACAGCGCCAATATCATAGTTCGTTCTAAATCAATTGAAATAAGCTTTTATAATTTGCTACTGATTCCATATAAATATTGACTTACGCATCTATTATCATAGCATCAAGAGTTGTTTCACCATTTTCATCGGGGCTTCCTCCCCATCCAACAGTTCCGTCACATTGATCAATTTCACATTGAGAGCAGCCCTGTTCTACAGCATCGATTGCTGATCCTTTATTACTAATGACTTGCCATGCTAGAGAAAGGTAAAAAAATTTTAACAAGAATTATATAATTATACGATGGTTTGTAATTTTCAACTCACCTTTAGTTGTTGCATCGGTGAAAGGCCAAGTGTTAATCACTAAAGGAAGCACATTATCCGAAGAAGTGTTACCTGAATGGACCAAGGCAAATATAAACAAAAGTAAAAGTTTCATATCCATCAATAAGTAATACACACTACTCTCAAACTAAATAAATAACTTGTGTTGAAAAACTTTGATTTAAATACCAACCTGAACCAAGCAATAAAATAATTGTCTTATTGTAAAGCTTAAGATTAACATCTTATTGTTTTATTGAGATTCTGAACAGCTGATAATTTAGCTTTTGTTTTTATATTTATATAGATACCCTGATGATTTAATATCTAGACTTTATATCTTTCCACTCTGTAATAAATCCAACTTTCAACTATGAAACATTTTAGCTATAAAATCGAACCAATTACGTTTTTCTTTACCACTGGTTGTAAATATTTAAATCATAGGAATAAACCGAAATTATGAGACCAATAAGAAATGTCGACTTTGAAAGTGATAAGTTTTTATTAAGAAAGTCGATTGCCAATTGTTGATTAAAACAATATGAATTTGGAATTGAAAAGAATAGCTTGAACAAGTTTTGATAAGATATGATTTAACAACAAAAAATAGACAAACAAGAAAATGTTCCAATATTGACACATACTTGATATTGATTGTAGTTAGTTATTGGGTTACAAATTGTATGAAGAAATGAGCATAGTGTTTATCGTATGAGTAGAAGATCAACTAATCGATTCTTCAATGTTCAGTTCACGTAATCTATAAGATATTCATCAATCTTTTATGATTATAATTATGTAAAGGGCGTTAGTTTATATCTATCTTGTCTTGCTGATCAAAACTCTTGTTTCCAGGAAATGAGGCTTGAAGCGAGAATAAAATTACAGTTTATGAAAGAAAATATTCTGTTTTTTAAAAAAAGAAACCTTGATTGTGAGGTTTATTTGAATTTATTGGGATTTATTCATTGCATTGATCAATTTTTAACTTGTTAAATAACAATTAAGGAAACGTCATGGGTTTCAGTCAATCAGCCAATCAGTTTGAAGAAGCTTTTTAATGTTATGCTTTCTTTTTCACTTCTAGCTTAGCAACTCACTTTCAAACTCATCTTCATCATCACTCACACAAAACCTCAATACATTTACCAGTTGAATCTATCTTTTTTGTTTTTGATTTGAATTATAATCAATTTATTATCCTAAGGTGAAAATTTAGCTATACTGTCATTCAATTAATGTTACCATCTACCATATTCATCAATGAGTTATAAGGTTTATGGTTTAACCTTACTATTTGTGTGCATCTTATTTACCATCAATCTTGTTGAGGCATCAGTTGGTGATCATCTGTCTTATTTTCGTAAATGTTTGACCAATTGTTTGTCATCTAATTGCTCATCTCAACACAAATTACTGCAATTTTGGGAACAACAACCTTTCTACCTCAATATTACGCAATGGAGCTGTGAGGAAGAATGTAAATATCAATGTCAATGGTCAACTATTGATTTTCTTATCAATGATTTGGAATTGGAGCGAAATCTTTTACCCCAGTTCCATGGAAAGGTATATTTTTATATAATTTATGTTTATTTTAGCTACAATTTAGTGTCAGTGTCATAGCCTAATGTGCTATTTAATAACCTGTATGGGAATTTTAAAGCTGTAAAAATTGTACCTCTTGATGTACTTCATCCGTAAAATTAACCAATGTTCCAGATGAAGAGTCAGCCTCCTATTAAGTAACAATTTCCTTTCCATTCTTTTGTTATTTTTATTAGATGACAATCTATTAATATTAAACTGTTTCTAACATTGTTTACATCTTTTATTTTTTTCTAATAGTGGACCTTCTATAGGATCTTTGGGATACAAGAGCCTGCCTCAGCATTTTTCTCTCTTCTTAATTTGGTCTCTACTTACCTAGCTTGGACTCACTATGCTAAACGTATCCTTCAGGAAAGCTCATCCAATGATTCAAATGAAGAATCATCTGCAGCCATTATCGATCCTTATTTTTTTGTAATCACAATCAATGCTATATTGAGTATGAATGCTTGGTTTTGGTCAACTGTTTTTCACGTTCGTGATACTCTTTTAACAGAAGTATGCCAATTTACTCTTGTTACAAAATTTTTTATATTTCCCGTTCTATTTTTTCTAATGTTTTTTTCTAATTTGCATATTTTATTCTTAGAGACTGGATTATTTCTCGGCGTTTTCAACCGTTTTATTCTCTTTCTACACCATTGTTGTCAGGATGATAGACGAACATCTTGATTTACCTGGGAAAAGATCAACCATTCACATGTCATTGTTGGCTCCTTTCATAAGTTACTATTTATACCATGTATATTATCTTATTTTTGTACAATTCGACTATGCTTTTAATATGAAAGCTAATCTTGTAGCAGGTAAAATATTTCTGGTCTGCATCATGATATGAGCTAAAGTAACTAAACATTTTTTTTATTCATTTCAGGCTTTTCCAGTTCTCTCTTGTGGTTGATCTGGGCTTATAAGAGACTTTCTACTATTCCAATTTCGCAATTAAAAGGCCATCATGTTGTCAAATGTGTCATATCTATCGTACTAGTCAATTGTCTCCTCATATTTGAAATTAATGATTTCCCTCCGCTTTTTTTCGTTTTGGATGCACATTCGATTTGGCACTTCGGAACCATTTGTCTACCCTTCATTTGGTTCGAGTAAGTTCATCTCAAAACTATAAATTATTGACTTGTGTATAAATTTTAATTCTTGATAATAATTTTCTTTATTTTATCATCAGTTTCCTGGAAAAAGAAGCCCTAGAACGTCAATCAATGAAGGGATCAAGTAAAGAAGCAATATCAACAAAACCTCATTCTAACTAATGCAATTTAACCGATTCGGACCAAGCTCAACTTTCAAGCCAAAATAGATTCAATCTATGACAAATTATTGGATATTTTTCGCAAATTTCTGTCACATGACAAATTTTTTAACCCTTGCCACCTCTTCAAATTTTTCATGCAAGCTGCATGAATAATCCGAAGTATCGTCCAGTAGAAATAACCTGATCACATGTGTCAAAAATGTGCAATCATTTTAAGATTACCATTCTAATCACAATGCTAATAACTAGAATCGCTCATTAACAAGTGCAATTCCTTCACTATATTCTCTCCAAAAGGACAGAATCTTATCGTATTTTCAAAAAAATTATGCCAAAATATTAAAGAATTTTTTGAATCATTTTGTTTAAATTTTAATTGACCATTTTGTTGATTTTAAAGCAACACTTCTTTATCTAAACTAAACTTAAACATAACCTTTGATTGATTAATCTTTAAAAAAAACTGGAATTGCTTGAATGAAGATGTTGCTTAAATGGTCAAGCTTATCAACACTATGAAGTAAACACTTCCTTTCTCCTCTGAGAAATTCAAGCTGAACAAGTTTCAAGTAATTTCATTCTGCTTGATCATTAATGTGTAGTGGAAATAACACATAGCTGTTTTTCAAGATCGAATGAGCACTTCTAATTGGACTGGTTTTCATGTGTTAAAATGATCTGCAAAAGGAGTAACTTAAATTTTAAGTTTATTTTGCTTTACTTTATGCTGCTTATCAATTAATTGTTGAGAAAACAAAAATTAAATCATAACATGGTGTCTATTTAATTCTTTGCCTTTGGTTGTCCCTGCAAAATATCTTTGGTATGCTATCCTTACAACGGCTGTTCATCGACCAATCAGCGACAAGCATCAGTTTGAAAACTTGGTAAACTTTGTTACAAAGCCATCTTTTTTGTTATTTATTTTATTTATTTACCTTTTTTTAATTATGTATTAAATTAGTCAAATTAGTACTTAATATTCTCTTAATTCTCCTGTGCCATCAATTATTATAAACATCTATGTATAAAAGCCAAAATAAACTGTCAAATGGGATTGAAATGACGGATGGGCCCTTCAAAGCAACTAAGCTGGTAAGTACTTATGGAGTTATTTTAATTTTAGGATTTCGCTTATTTTATTAAATTGTACAGCTCTTCTATCCATTTCCAATTCTTCTAGTTAGTTGAGAATCCATTCTAGAGTCAATTCTGATGATAAAGCTTTAAGAAAATTAGAGAGCATGATTGAGTTACCGCTTACAATGTGTGCTTGAGGAAAAATATGTAGCAACTCTTCGGATATTTTGTTTGATATTTACAATTTGTCTTATTTTAAAATTATTTATTTCATTTCTCTTTGTCTGCAGTGGAACCAGATAATCTATGATTTTAGTACAGGTATCAGCTTAAAAAGACACCGTCGTCACTTGAAAGCCTATGAAAATTGTTTTGTGGCCTGTAAAGCTGTTGACTGGCTATATGATTATTTGGCAGTCCATAAAAAAAGTGAAAATAAAGAGATTTCGAGGTAAATATTTTTTCTATTCAACAATTTTTTATTGTTGAGGATATTAATATAAATTTGTTAATTTTTTCTTTCTTTTTATTAGACAGCAAGCGATTCAATTGTTGGATAAGTTTTTAACTTACGATATTATTGAGAAAGTTGCTTGCAAGAATACAAGTTGTGCGAAATTCAAGGACAACAAGGATCTATATCGTTTAAAGAATGAAAACATACCTTATCCACATTTAGAAAATAGCCGTGATAATGATGAAGATGTTCCCTACCGAGAAGAAAAAGTTCTGGAAAAACAATGGAGCCAGTCGACGACTCAGAGTATTGATAATAGTGCCAGATTAACTCCAACAAAGAAGATATCTTCTTCATTTGATGCAAACTCAGCTCAGATCTGGAAAAATGTCATTCTTCAGCACCTTAACATGATGCAACCATTGGTCAACTCTCTTCTTGATGCTAGAGATATAAATTCCAGCTATGCTGCCACAAATGTGACAAATCTGAATAAGAATGGTGTCGTATTGATTGAGGACAAATCAAAAGATATTCCTCATTGGGTCATGTCTGCAATGAAATGTCTTGCGAATTGTAAGGCTTATTTTTATTTATATTGACGTTCCCACGTTTGCTAAATATGCTTTCCTAAGCGAATCATACACGAAATCATGTTAATATTGACTCTTTTTCTTTTCTCTTCAGGGCCAAATAACTCTGGAAATTCACTACCCCGTTATCCTGGTTTTGAACGCGACGTTTTCAATCTTATTAGAGAGTATTTTGTCAACCTTGATTCTCCAATGATTCCATCAAATTTCTACCCATTGATTGTTTCCGTGGTCAAAGAAACTGATCTTAAGAATATAAGTCAGAAGAATAGCCAACTTTATGCAAAAATAGGCTTGAAAGACCGTGAATTTACTTATGATACAAACACTTCAACTCCTCTCGCCAGTAAAATCAGTGAAATTAGACGTAATGGTGCTCAAATGAAAGTGAAAAAAGATGATCCAGTCTTTGAAACTGTCTTTCTTACTCAAAGTCCAATGACAAGAATTTTGTCTCATGATGCCTTGACTTCAATATTTTCTTCTATCGCATCCTCTGACGGATCATTAGATGGTTCTTCTTCTCCACAGAGTATTGACGCTTTCAACTCATACCGTAGACCAATAGAAGCTAGTAATTTACAACATCTTGCTACTTTACCTCGCAATTTGAGGAAACAACGATTAGAAGGGTTGAAAAAGTTCAAGCTAGAGAAAGAGCAAAATAAGAGCTCTTTATGCTTAATGAATTTCGGTTGCATTCTGCAAAGCCCATGTGAAGAGGGTGAATATATGATGGATAAAAGTGTAACCAACCTGAGAAATTTCTATTTTTCAAGTAAGCATTCACCTGAACCAGCATATTCTAATTTTATTTTTAGAGATAAAGATTCTAATACGAATGCTTCAACAGAAGGAGAAGAAAGAGTTGTGAATATACTAAATCTAGTTCTTCTACTCATACCACCTGAAAATCGGCGACACTTACACCTTCTTTTAAGATTGCTTTCAAGAATTTTAAAGAATAGTGAGCTCAAATTTCACTGTAATCATTCAGTGAGTATGGAATATTATGTAAGTGATTCTTTAATCCTTTTAAAAAACTATTTGAAGTAACTGACATATCTTTTTTCATCTTATTTCTAGATCATTGAGACTTTTACTAGATGTATCATTCATTCTGGCAACGAGAAAACTTACAACGAACGAGCTGCTCAATTATTGGTGTCAGTTATGTTGAAAAATACTGAAAAAATATTCAATATTCCTTCTTATGTAAAATACAAAGTGAACAGTATAATAAATTATTAGTTTGTTTTCATTCCCATCTTGGATGAAAAAACGATTTGAAGGATTTTGTAAGCTAAAAATTAAATTCCTGAATTTCATTCAATTTAGGACAATTCATCTTTTAAACAAAATTTCCAACCATTAAAGAACTTTTTTGAGTCATTTTATTGTAATTTTTCTCGGTTATCTTAAGATTCCAAATGTCTCTGAGTTTTTTGTACATTCATTTGGCAATGCTAGGCTTGATAAGGTTTTAGGGTTATGATCATCGGAATAAAACCAATCGATCTAGAAAATTTTGATGCATTCGATCTTCGAAGAAATGAGATGAAATAATTCGAGATAGAAATCGAAACAAAAAGAAAAAGGTAACAAAAAATTGATATTTGTTTTTCAAAAACATTCGGATAAAACAATTGAGTTTGTAGACAATCTCACAACTGGTTATTATCTTATATAGATATATGTATAATTATTAATTATATTTGTTTCAAACTTGATTATAAATAAGGGGAACAAAAATCGTCTCAAGCAAAAAAATCATTTTTGATCGTCCAATCCATCCTGACCTTAAATGCCACAGAATACGACTTGATATATATTTTGGTGACATATTAGTCCTGTTTTCTAGTCGTCAAAAGAAAAAACAGACTTGAAACTAACTTCTGACTAACTTGATTCATATAAGGGAATAGATATTTTTTGTATCAACAGCTTGTTTAACAGTTAAAATTCATTTCAAAACAACCGGAATTAATATTTCTGTTTAACATTGAGAAAACACCTTTAGATGGTACTTTTTCTTGTTTGGGCATCAAGACAAAACTCCTCATGGATTGGATAACATGTCAATATTAATCTTGAAATAAACATATGGATAGTACTCTTGTGGGCCCATGTTAAGGCCTGGAATGTCTTCAACTGGTCCACCAGCAGCTGATGTATCCAAGTGAGAATAGAGACTGTTCAGAGTTTCACGGAGTCTTCTTTGTTGTTTCTTATTGGGATGTATAAGTACAGCAAGAAAATTAACTGGTAATCCATATCGTAAAACAGATTCAACGAAAACTCTCAAAGCTTTCACATGGACCCAAGCAATAAAGGCTTCAGAAAAATTGATCTTCAGCCATCTCAGTAAATTTTGGAATTTCTTCTCTTTATCTTGTTCTAATTTAACCAGTTGATTTTTACTATCTGCAATTTCTTGTTCATTGTATTGGAAATCTCGAACAACAAATTTACACTCTCGAGCGCGAGTTTTAAACTCATCAATACATTTGGAGAAAAGGGTTACTGTGAATAGACCATGCTCATTGTCCTCAAAGATTAATTCCGATGACCTGGGAGCAACGTAAGCAGCTAGTTTTTCGTACTTCGCATTCCATTCTTTGAAGTATGCTTTAGGAACAACAACCAGCAAAGTGGTCAGATACTCCGATCCCAAAACAAAATGTTTCTTTTGACAAATATCACCAAGATTTCGGACTAGAAGTGATCCCGCTTGTTTTCTCTCCATAGATTGCAACGTACCTGAAAATTAATGTAAAGATTTTACAAGTTAAAGATGGTTGGAAAAGGGCTGGTAAATTAAGGACAGTTACTTCTGTGAAACTAAAACTTACCTTTTAGGGAATTATAAACCGAAGATTTTGTTTTAAGATCGGCATCAATTTGGGATAGTTGCTTGTTTATGATATCATAAAGAACTTTCAAACTTTGTTGTGAAGGGTATTTTGCTTTGTCCCATTGGAATTTTGTTAAATATACACTTAGCTCAACACCATTTGCTTTCAGATGCTCAAATACGTTGGCATTTTTGTTTTCAAAGATATCGTGGATACAGGTTGCCAGTTTACGGCTAACACTCTCAACATAAGCATCGAGTTTAGCAAGATCATCTGAGAGTCCAACAAGAGTGTCTAATGTACCAACTTTGAGGTCAGGAATGGGAAATTTATAATTCTTGGCTAAATCCTGCTTAGAAGTGACATTATTCAAGCTTTCCCAAGTTTGATGGATTGTTTTCTCTCCAGGAGCTGAGATGAGCCAAAATTCACTCATGATCTTTCTTTATATTAATATTTCTTTTTGACTGTGAGAAAATAAAAATGATAAAATTTGAAATTGTAGATAAGTTAAATAAAATAAGAGAAGGAATGTCAAAACAAGGAAAGCTTACCTGAGGAGTGTTAGTATTTTCCAACCGAGAGGATTGGCTTGTTTGTTAAGGCTGATGGTAAACAGATATAACTGTATGGAAAAGCCTTGTACACAATCAAAGATACACCATTAACCGTATTATTAAAATTTAGGTGAAAAATAGATGAAACAGATGGATTGCATCAATGTAAATTAAAACAAAAGAAAATATAAAAGAAGATTAAAAGAAAGATTAAACAGGATTAACAGTTAAAATGTCCAATGACTTTAAAGAAGATGTCATTCAGGACGTCGTTTAAAGATTAAAAAAATGAAAGGCGTTTAATAGGGAAATCTCAATTAATAACTACTGTTCTCTAATATAGAGGTCTCTAATAATTATTTCCTATTGAAACTAATTGTAATTAGATTTCAAATGATTGTTGACAGAAAGATAAAGCTGCCAATGTTAACAATGTTAATGAGAGATTCAATAACAATCTCACAATGATAACAAGAAACTAACGTCCTCTAAACTCAAAGCAATGAACTATCCTAAAATTCAATTCAAGAGCCTTTGCACTTTCTTTCTCTTTCTATTTCTCTTCATAATGTTGATAATTTTATAATTATAAAATGCAATCAATTAAATTTTCGATTATTTGTTCGATTCAACAATTTAACGTTCTATCAAAGCATTATTCATTGAACAATGAACAAACAGTCATAAATTTAACGCCAAATGTTGCCCATTTGAGTAATCATTGAAATTAGCGAGTTTATGACATAAACATACAATGAGCGTCAATAATTTGATTCGAAGTATCGGTCTATTCATGAAACGTGATGTGAATTGTTTTTTAATTTGATAAATCGTTAATAAGATCTTACAATTATAGTAAATTTTTAATGGTAAACAAATTGATTGGTGGATGAGGGCAGCACTTTCATTAAGGAAGTTTTGCTTAGTTTCTATGGATACAATTGACATAAGAATGAAAATTTGATTTCTTGAAAATAAATTAGCAAACTTTTACGTTCTTTGTAATTTATTGTTATTTTTACTCGAGAGATTGGCGATAATGTTCAAGGATCATTTTACTCTTGACTTTCTGATAGATTCCTACAATCAACTATAATGTCTGAACGTGAATTTGACTTTATTATTTTCGGTGGAACCGGAATTACGGGAAAATGTGTTCTACGAAATTTGGTTAAAGAGTTGGAATTGGAAAAAAGGCCTCGCTGGATTGCCATCGTGGGCTCCAATAAAACTCAATTGAAAATGGCCGTCACTGAAATTGCTATTCAAATGGATCGTAATCTAAACGATGTGGATCTAATTGTGGCTGATTTTAATGATGAAGCCAGTCTTCTTTCATTGTGTGCTCGTACAAAGGTGCTTCTTAATGCTTACGATCCTTGTAATACACTTTTAAGAGAAAAATTGGCCAAAGCTTGTATTGAGGTGAGTAAATCATTATTTTATTCAGATATTTAGATGAGCTACCCAATCATGAATGAAAGATACTTCTTTAAATCTGTAATTACAATAAGAATTGTTTATAAAATCAGTAAATTACAACCCTGAACTTCCAATAGGCAGTAAAAGACAGAATAGTTGTTTGATTTAGCGTCGCAATTGATAGCACATGTCTCTAATTGTGTTTTTTTTGTGCTTCTAAATGTGTTCGTTCCCCTAGGAAGCCTGTGCCTTAATGTTCGTCGACACGGTACATTATATTGAATCGTATATGAATATATTATCGCTTCGCAGTGGCTATTTACTTTCCTTCCAGGAAAAACGCTTTAATACATATTGAACTACACATTTGCGAATGAAAATCTAGAATTCTTTATTATTCATTCTCTACGACATGAGCCGAAAAAATCGTAATAGTATCTGTGACACTTACCTTGTTAGTTTTATCCGCTTTTGAATCTAATGAGAGCACGAGATATCGAGGAATTTCCAGGTGCTAAAAAGGTGCTTTATTTTGTTGATCTGTGTCCATCTTTCATTGACTTTTCTAAATTTCTGTTCATTTTCATGCATAATTACCCGCTGGTTGCATCCTTGAAATAAATGGTCAACGTCAATGAAACTTGTTTGTTTGTACATTTAAGTGCTAACATTTCCTCTCTCAATTCAGTTAATCATCAAAATAATAAAATTGATAAGTCTAATTTATATTCTTATTACCCTTTTGACGTCTTAAATCTCGTTTACCTTGAAAATTTACAAAATATTTTCAATACTGCTTTGTATTGCTCAAATTGTCCTTTCCATTCAATCTTAATCATAGCTAATTTTGACAGTGACAATATAAAGTTATTGTTCCTTATCATTTTTCTTATTGAAATGCTATTAAAAGTAAATTATGTGTTTATTCACCCCTTAGGCTATCACCATTATAAAGGATGTCGACCGAAAGAATAGAGAAAATAGCCTCTTATTGAATTCAGAACTTTATTGATTCAAGTTCAAGAACTCTTATCAAAATTCATATTCCTTAAAATTTAATACGCTTTTTATTCTGCTTATAAATGATTGATTTGTTTTTTTTGTTATTTTCAGAAAAGAACTCACATGTTGGATATTTCCGATGATCCAGAATTCATCGAACTAATACAATTCAAGTATCATGAGGCTGCTAAAGCTTCTGGTGTATATTTAATCTGTTCAGTTAATTTCAATTGTGTCCCGATCGACATTGGAGTCGACTACTTGAAGCAACAATTTTTACCAGCTGGAAGACTGCATTCAGTCGAAAGTTACTTTTCATTTACCCGCAACAATCACCGTTATCATCCCCAATTGAACTCTTTCGTGGTAAATCCAATTCTTCAGTCTAGTTATTTGAATAACTCAATGCTGACTTATCACAATAATGCTGATATTAAACCCTCTCAACTCTCTCAATGGATTACTTCATCTACATCATCAACTGACGCAAATTCACTTCGCTCGTTGTCATTATCATCATTTAAATCATCTAAATCACTTTTAAAGTGCTTTCCTCGCAGAAACAAGGAACTATCAGCTTGGTCAATTCCAATCGCCACGAATAAAGTTATCTGGAAAAGTCAAAAGTGGTTTTACGAAGCCTACAGAGAACCTCCGATCCGTTTTGAGCAACATCTAGTTGTCTCTCAATGGCACCAACTAATTTTCATAGTTTTATCTCTCATTTATTTAACCTCGTTGAGTTGGTTTTCATTTAGTCGTAAATTATTATCAAATTACCCAGATTTATTGACTTTTGGCTTTTTAAGTAATTCTAATAATGACCGAAAAGAAGTCAAACAATCTCTCGACAATAACAATAATAGCTCATCATTAACATCATTAACAACATCGCCACCGTCATCAACTCCTTCACCGTCATCGTCTTCGTCATCATCTTCATTTTCAATTCATCTTGTTGGACAAGGTTGGGACTCCCCTAGTGACTCTTCTGATGGACAATATAAATTCCCACCCAACAAAACTATCAGAGTCTCGATAAATGGATCCAAATCAGACTGTGAAACAACTTCACTGATTTTAATCCAAAGCGGTTTGACTATTCTCGAAGAATCAAGTTCAATGCCGTACAAAGGAGGATGTCTAACACCAGCCTTCGCTTTTCGTTACACTTCAATACGAGACCGCCTCCACCAGAAAGGATTGCAATTTAAAATACTCCATCATTAATTGTCAAATATTGCTAACAATCAGTTGAATAAATTTTGTTTTACTATTAAATATTCAAAAAATTTATTTCGCCAGAATAATGAAGTTTAAGATTTACAAATGATACTCATAATCGCATCTAATGTGGATTCGGCCAACTTGGTTGACTTCTTACAAATCTTAATGAATACATGTAATAATCATGATTAGTAATGCTAATTGAAGCAAAGTCATACCAACTGTTTATTACTCTGATAATTTTAAGATTATTTTAATTTCAATTTATTAAATTTCAAATCCTTACACCATGTAACTGCAGAAAATTCAGCTTTATTCAAAAACCATGGTCAGCAACTTTTAAGAATGAGACTTCATTTTGTCCTTAAGCAATGAGTAATCAATATTTCTTGCCTGTTTATTTATTTGAATATTTTAAATATTTCATGTTATTATGACTTGTATGATTAAGTAATTGCCCTTCGCAGATAAAAGATCGAGAAAATCAAATTTAAATGTAAAAGTGCATGTTTAAATTATAATATTTAAGATAACAATTTCAACTTCTGAATAAAAATCACACAATACAATGTTTTTGAACTATTCTTGTGAATAACAATTTCTTTCTTTCTAAAAACAACAAAGTGCTATTTCTTTGACAATTATGAAATTAATAACTTGTGTTTGCAATTAATTATCCTGATGCTTTTGGGGAAAGCTTTAAATATTAATGCATTTATCTTTGGATGAAGGTTAGAAAGGGTTAAATAATTTTATTAGATCAAGGCTTATCCATTTGAAATTCCCAGTTGTCGATAAAAATAGATGATTTGTAATTTCTGACTAGCTTATAGCGTTATATGTTGAACACAATCACTGTAGGGAGTGCTGACAGCTCAACATTAGTCAATATTAGCCTTCAGGCAGCATGCTGGTCTTTTCAAATGAAATAAATATATTCATTTCTTGAATATTTTACTCACAAAGATGTGTATCAAACCTGATTTCCCACTAGCATTTTACGGATCACTTTGAATAATTGCCACAAAACTTAATTAAAACAAATCATTCGTAAAATGGTTTGATACTGGGTTAAATTCAGAGTTAATTATTATTAATATTTCATTAGTCGTCTTAAAACTTAAACCATTTTTTTCATTTCATCCAACAATAATACAGTTTGAACATGGTTAAATCCATGGGAAATTACATCTTGATTTGGTTCTTTTTGGTTTCGATTGTGCCGCTCAACTGTGAACCCGATCATTTGCAATCTTGGAAAAACTTTTGGTCTATTAGTGATTCAGCTTTTAGAAAATTAGGAAATTACTTCGACAATCAGTTAACACCGTTAATCAAATCGGAATCTATTTCAAGTTCTTGCCAAGGATCGTTGTTGAAATTCATCGATGGAATTAAAAATTTCGATATCGACAGTGTTAGGAGTAAGTATTGTTTACATTTGGACATGTTTCTACTCAGTGATCGTGAACATTTGGATGAAGAGTTTAAGCTTTGTTTCTAATTTGATTTATGTGCCTTCTCATTGTCAGTGTTTGATTCCTGGGGTAAACTACCATCAGGGTTACTATTTGGATCTTGGAGTGACCTAGGGTCGTTTGATCAATGTGTGTCGCTGGAAAACAGTCAATATTGTTTACTCACTGGATCTATGCCGTTGCCTTCCAAGCGACAACATGAAGGTTTATTCATTCCACTTGATAAATCATCATTCAATTTAACCGACCCTCTATCAGTTCATCTGTATCCGTATGCCCATTATTTTCATAATGTTAACTTAACATTTGGTGTTTGTGCCCCTCGTGAGTGTTCACCTCAGGAGATGACTTTAATAGCTAAGTCACTGATTCATTCATATGGTCTTCAGATGAAAGTCAATGTTGATTTATGTCAACATCGAGCCAAATCAGGGAATCAAATATTATTCCGTGAATATGTTGCTCTGATAATCATTTCAACTGTGATTGCCTTGAACATATTTGGAACCATTTATTCAACGCATCCATTTCTTGGCCATTTTAATTTCCCGCTGAACTGGAGCAAGCTTTTATCGACTACCAACAATCAGCCCAATCGCTCTTATCCTTTCATAGAGTGTTTCAAATTTTTTGCTATGATTTATCTCATATTGACTCATGTTGGATGGGCTTTTAATCACAACTCTTTCCATTCGATCTTCAAAATTCAATCAATGTACAAGGGAATTCTTGGTTACTCATTATTACCCTCTTACATGGGCTCTGAAGTTTACTTTCTTATGACCGGACTTGAATTGATGACCTTTTTCCTTTCATTCAAGGGAAAGTTCACTTTCTCTTCAGCAATCAGTTTTCTTTTAATACGATGGGCTCGTTTTGTGACGCTTATTGGCTTTTACATTAGTCTTTATATCCTCGTCTTTTCTGATCATGTTCGTGATTTAGTTGGTGGACCATTTTGGTCTCATCTTTACTCTGCTACATCCATACCTGGTACTTGTGGTGAGCGTTGGTACAGTCATGTTTTGTTATACAGTCATTTGATGGCTAATCCTGATAATTGGAATCTCTGTATGATGCCTGATTGGTTTCTTCAAGTTGATTTTATTCTGGCTTTCATGTTTCTGCTTGTTCTTTGGCCTTTGCGAATGTCTCATAAACGCTTATCCATTTCAGTGGCAATGTTTTTCATATTTTCAGGGTCTGTGATACTTGGTTTGGTCATTTATTATAAATCAGCATCACCAACTTGGTTACCTTACAATTATGTTAATCAACAATTAGCAGTATACCTTGCTTATGTTCACTCCCAACCATATACTCATATGAGTCCTTATTTTATCGGTGTATTGCTTGCATTTGTATTACAATCAAAGGATCCAATTATCAAAAGAAAGGTATGTTCAATCAAGTTTCGAGTAGTTTAATTTCAACTTGTTTCATAGTTTTTACTAAAAAGACAAAATCAACACAATTGTCACATTTTTACACAAATTGAAACAAATACGAAAAACAAATGGACAAAAACGGCTAAAAATCAATTTCTAGCAAATTTAGCTTATGTAGGTTTGTAGATATACAAAATATGAGTCCATTTGTGTAATTTAAAGGTTTCTCTGATGAACAGTTCTCGAGAAAATCGACTTCGAAGTTGAAACTTGCACAGCTTTTTGTACAGTTATGGATGCAGATTTTTTCAGGAAACTCGTTCACCTTATGTATCTTTAGATGAACAATCAGGAAATCTATTTATTTCGAGTAATAAAACTTTTATTTTTTTGTAAAACAGTTTAGTTCGAATTTTAGTTAAAGCTGTCGCATTCGGTGATCTTAAGTGTTAGAGAGATGAAACTTATAATTTGTCCATAAAAATTGGGGACTCACATTATGGATTGAACCATTTTAACAATTTATACCCAGTTCTCTTGATTTTGGCCATTGGCCTTAAAACTTTAGTCCTCGATATTTCGAGTATGGCATACCTTACAGTTACCACTCTTTCGCCAAACATTAGATTTCAATATAGACTTTAACATAACATGAGCCAATTTCGAATAAAATCTGAACTAATTCATTTAATAATGAAGATACTTATAACGTATAAAATTTGTGTTTTGCTTTATAAATAAAGTCTCAAATCTCACAACATGATTTACACAATGATATAATTTTTTTCGTACAATCTTGAATAATTTAATATTGCAACATATTATAGTCCATAATGGAATCTAATGTTTGGCGAAAGAATGGTAACTTTAAGATGTACCATTCTCGAAATATCGATGCTCAAAGTTTTAAGGCCAATGGCCAAAATAAAGAGAACTGGTGATAAATTGATAAAATAGTTCAATCCATAATGTGAGTCCACAATTTTTATGGACAAATTATAAGTTTCATCTTTCTAACACTTAAGATCACCGAATGCGACAGCTTTAACTGAAAATCGAACTTGATCTATTTTACAGAAACGGAAAATGTTATTTCTCTGAATAAGATCATTTTACGGTTGGAAATTAAAAGTTAAACCAGTAAAATAAGTTTCGTGTAAAAATCTCCTTCCATTGTTGCACAAAAGGCGGTCAAAGTTTCAACTTCGACTTCGATTTTCTCGAAAACTGTCCATCGGAGGAATTATTTAACAGTACTAATGAATGCAGTTTTCATGTCCCTACAAACCCACCAACTCTCAACTTTTGACTCAAATGTTCGAGCCTTTTAGCATTACTTATTGCATCTCGTTTGCAAGTTTAACCAGAAAATTGGTTTGTTTAGCAAGAAATGGGTTTAAATGAGTTTGTTTTGTTAAATAAGTGGTTTATCGTGCATTTACAGCCCAAAAATCAAGACCCAAATGCGCTGATGGAAAATTATAAAGTTGCATTTAATTATTAATTAGTAAAGAAGTAAATTGGTAAAAGAATGATTATTGTAGGATATGTCAATATCGAAATATCGATGCTAAAAGTTTAAAGACCAATGGCCAAAATCAATTGAACTGTTGATGATCCGAAAAAAAGTATTTGATCGACGATGTGTAAGAACAATTTTGATGGACAAACAACAAGTTTGTATCTCTCTAGCTGTTAGGGACATAGAATGCGATCGGTTTAACCGAAAATCGAACTTATCTGTTTTACAAAAAAACAAAATTCTATTTCTGAAAATGAATACATTTTCTGGTTGATCATCTAGAGACACACCAGTAAAATCAAGCAAAGCGCAAAAATCTGATTCCATAATTGTACAAAAAGCTCTGCAAGTCTCAACTTCGAATTAGATTCTCTCTAAAACTGTTCATCAAAGAAATCTTTAAGCCACGCGAATGGACTCAGTATTTATATCAATACAAATCAAAAGAGTCTCAATTTGAAAGAAAATGATTTTTACCCGTTTTCGTTCATTTGTCTATGAGTATTTGTGGCAACTGTGTTAATTTTGTCTTTTAATTAATAGTAACAATCGGTTTCATATTGTCATTTAATAGATACACTTACGCTTCATGTGGCTTCTTTGGTTCATATTTAACACAATTATTTTTGGCTACGAATTTTATATCAACTTCAATATTGGAACAATGTCTTCTACTGTTTCCATCATATATGCCAGTTTTTCACGAATCTTATGGTCATTCTTGTTTGCTTGGCCAATTTATTGTCTTCACTATGGATTCGTTCCTGATGGCTTATATCGTTTCACTTGTTCTGGTTTCTTCAAACCCATGGCGAGAATCAATCTGACGGTTTTGTTTATGAATGAAATTATCATTCGAATGCGAAATGCTACACAAATTTATATTGCCGATCCAACATTTTTCAATACATTCATTAGTATTGGTACTCCAGTCATTGTGTTTACTTATGCACTCTCGTTCATCGTCTCATCTATGGTTGACGGCCCTTCAATTAGTCTGGTTAAGAGTTATTTAAAAAAGGATGGTAAATATGATGAATATCTGAAGAAGCCAAATGTGAACTTAAACAACAATTTAATCAGCTCGACTCAACTAGAGAAGGAAAGTTCTAAAAAAGATTGAGACAGAATTCTTGATCCAATTTAAGGCTTAATGCTAATACTAATGTTAATACTTAATGATAAGGTATTAATAAATTAGTTTTATTTAAAAAGGAAAGATCGCGCTTTTTAAAATATTATAATATCTATTACATTTATTAAATAATGACAACAATTTAAATTTTACGTTAAATAAATCCTTTATTGATTGCAAGGTTAAAATAAAAGGTATGCGGATTGGCCAAATATACATTGAAATTAAAATTTTACCTATGAATCTGTCTTTTAAACTAGATTCGCGTTATATTCAATAAAATGAAAGATGAAGATGGCAATTCAAATGAAATTGCAATGATAAAACTGTAACTATAATGAAAGTTTATCATAGAAGTGGATCGCAGAAGTTACTTTTTGAAAATCTTGTTTAAGTGGCTCCTTTTGATTTCGATTGAGGCGAAGAAATGAAAGCATCGTTGATTCTCATATGAGAAGGTTGATTTAGTCGGATAGCTTCTGACTGTTTAAATTTATATAAATTTACAATCCAATGATATTAGCTAACTAGTGGCACATAACATCAAGTAGAGATCACATCAAGCATTAGTGTGGTCATTTGAACATCACAATCAATTTCTAGCTGCTAATTCAATACACATATTTTGATTTCAAGTTGATTAGGTTGTAGAGATTGTTGGTCATAAGAAATTTAGAGATGTATGAATTATACTCGTCAATTTTCATTTAAATTAGACATTTCCTTTCTGAAATATTCGATAGTTTTCTTGAGTCCAATTTTTAAAGGAACTTTTGGAGTCCAGTTCAATTCTCTTCGAGCTCGAGAAATATCTGGTCGTCGTCGTTGGGGATCATCTTCAACGCCATCAGTAAAAACAATTGAGCTACTTCCTCCTACTAAATTTTTAATTAAAGTAGCAAACTCCAAAATTGTATACTCTTCAGGATTACCTAGGTTAACAGGCAAAGAATAGTTACTGTTCATCAGCTTGATCAATCCGTCCACCAAATCGTCGATATAAGCAAAAGATCGAGTTTGTGTACCATCACCGTAAATAGTTATTGAATGATTAAGTAAAGATTGCATGATGAAATTGGAAACAACTCGACCATCATTTATATTCATTCGTGGACCATAAGTATTGAATATTCGCGCCACTCTAACAGCAACATTTTCTTGCTTGGCATAAGCATAGGATAAAGCTTCGGCAATGCGTTTACCCTCATCGTAACATGATCGAGGACCAATAGGATTAACATTGCCCCAATAATCTTCCGGTTGGGGATGGACTTGTGGATCACCGTAAACCTCTGATGTTGATGCCACCAAAACGCGAGCTCCAATACGTTTGGCCAAGCCAAGCATGTTTATAGTACCCAGTGCGTTGGTTTTAATTGTTTTAACTGGATTAAACATATAATGAGGAGGTGATGCTGGCGAGGCTAAATGATAAATTTGATCCACTTCAATATACAATGGGTTTACGATGTCATGGTGGATTAGTTCAAAGTTTTTATGAGAAAACCAATGATGAAGATTACTTTTCCTTCCAGTAAAAAAATTATCAACAACCGTAACTTCATGGCCATTTTTCATTAAAATGTCAACCAAGTGTGAACCTACAAAGCCAGCGCCTCCAGTAACCAGAATACGTTTACGCTCAGGAGATGATAGCCTGCGTGTATTTGGTACGTTCTTGGAAGTTGAACCTTCTAGAATTTTGATCCTTAGTTCAAGATCTTTCAACTGGTCGATTAGGATTTGATTTTCTCTTGACAATTTTTCCATTTGATCATCGGACACGAAGCTTGATTTTTGTAGGGATTCTTTTCCAACAGATAGCACATGATTTTGGTGATAAAAATCCAATTTTACATAGAAAAAAATGACTGAAAATAGAAAGAATTTATTAGTCTAATTATTTTGCTTGCTGTTGTCATTGCAAATACTTACCAAGAATTAAACACATAAGGGTTATGAATATAACTGCAGTGAAAAATCGACCACCAGAACGTGTCATAATTAATTGTAAAACATTGATTAGTCAAAGCGGTGAATTGAAAGTTGTACTCTTGAAGGAGAAAAGGAGAAATAACTGGCAGATTCCTTTTTGATGAGATAGTTATGTAATGAACACTAATAGTAAAGACTAGGATGGATCATTTGCACGTTATTATGTTCAGGATTGAAGTAAGTAACCATTGAGGGACTAGTTAATTAACGATAAATACATTTATAATAAAGATAATAAGGATAGGCGCATTACAGGTCCAGAGTCAACAGAAATAAGCTTCAGTTTGATAAATGGATATAAGCTCAAATTGTCATTCCAGTACGATTATACGATTAGCAGACAGTTTATCCTTGCTCTTTGAATAAAATTGCTTGTAAATAAACATCAGGCCAAAATAATTCAAATAAGTGAGAATAGATCCAGCAAAATGCAATTTGTTATTGGACTCTTCTTGAATAATGATAAAGCTAGAAATAGGAGTTGAAATCTGGATCCAACTAGTGAATGGAAAACAATGTAATCAGAGAGATTGTCTTTCACTACTGAATAGACCACATCACTGAAGGTATAAAACACATTTGTAGAAGAAATTAACCAGGATGTAAAATCAAATCATCTTGTGTAAATAATATGCTGCAACGGTCGCTCAAATGAGATACAATGATACCAGTTGATAGTTTCCTGTTGTTTACCCTTAATACGAAGTAATGGAACATCAGCAATAAAACTCAAGTGGATTGGCAATTAATTTAACAAAGATGCATCCTGGTAAATTGGCAAGTTTGACCAACGTCAATGGCTTTAAAAATTTGAACTCTTCTGAAAGACTATTGAGCTGAACCTAAAGATGAAATCATACGGATAGAGAACAATGTTAAATTTAGCCAAATCATTGATATTAGTAATACATAGACAATAGTTTGATGAATTTAAGCAGTGATTAATCAATAATTTATGGAAAGACATGAAACTTACCATTTAGTAACAGATGATTGTTGCATCCTTTCATTGAGAAACGTAAGCTCAACAGCTTCTCATCCAGACTGGTTACCAGATGTAAACAAAAACATTTATGACAAATATTCCAGTACTTTTTAAGTGATTTGGATAATATCCAGTAGTAATTTAATTCATTTTCAGGTTTACACAGTGTTGATAGAAATGGCTTTAATTTTGATGCAGCATGTTAACCAATCTTACTAGGATTGTAAGGGTTAAAGAGGTGTTTAAATTTGACAGGCCATCTTGAAAGATTTATCATCATGCATCTCACCATAGCCTATCCATCAGCCTCCAGGTTGAGAGACTGCTTTTTTTCATTGAGCAATAAATTCTGTAAGGTGTGAAAAATTTTCGGCTGAATAAAACGATGAATAGATTAAGAATCAATTTCCAGACAATAAGTGCAAGAATTAAACATCAGTTGATTGCATCACAACTCAAACAGGATAGGTCTGTTTACCTCGCGTGATTGTAAGCTCCGCCCTGTCATACGAGCTTTCATTTCAGCTTGAATTGTTGGATGTTTGTGTTATTTGTTTTTTCTTAATTTTATTCAATAATCAGCTCTAATTTATCAATTTTCATTTAATTTTCTTCATTAGATTTCTCTATTCATGATGAAGATTATTCTGGTGCAAACAGTTGTTCATTATTACAGTCTGTAAAGTGATAAATAAAGAAGAACATCATTGTTTCAAAAAACATCAATAGTGTTTCTCTAGATTCATAGTTTTGTTATGAAGTATTGAATGTGTTCATCTTTCAACCATGGAAGTTAACTCAATCAAGGAAAATTTAGTTAACGGGTTTACTTTTGACTCATCTTCTCTAATCTCGCCGTTTACTGGAGATGATGTTTTCTCTTCCAACCAAATTAATGCGCCTTTGGGTGATCATAATGAGGATGAGTTTGACCAGATGCTCCAACAAATCGGTTGTTTTGACATCAATATGTTAAATTTGGAGAACAGTGATTTATTCAATGTTGCTGATTTGGAAGGCTCCGCTTTGACACCTGATTCAGGAAAGTTTGAACAGTCTCCTGATCTAGTTGGAGATTTAAAAGCTGAATTAACCTCAATTCAGGTAATGTCTTATTTTAACTTTCAAAGCTGACAATTGTGAGCCGAATTATGATTCATGATTTATTTAAGGCTCTTTTTCAATACCCCCGGTTTAATGTACATAAAATTAATACAATTCCATATTTCTTATATTTATCTGCAGCCATTCGACTCGACCAATGGAGTATCATCAAATAATTCACCCGTTTTAGATTCTAGGTATTTATTTGATTATTATTACATTTATTCCTGATTTTTCCATTTTAATTCATTCTAATGTTTGTCTTTTTTATAGCGAACCTTTGTTAAAACAATATAATTTAATTAATCAAGCATCTATCCAGCCTATTCAACAATATCAAAGCCAGTTACCTCAACAAACAGTATCTCAAACCCAGTTGAAATTACCTGATCCACCAGCTCAACCTATGGATATTGGTACTACGGCAAAAGTTCAGAGAGTCCAAGCCACTATCCAGCCTTTAATTCAACAAGCTGTCATTACTACACCGACACCTCCCCAGAACACTGAACCATCTATCATTTGTGTTGATCAAAACCAAAAAACCACAACTGTTCCAATCAATTTGAATGACTTGATATCCATTATAAGAGAGCAACAACAACAGAAACAACAACTATTTATTCAGCAGAAAGTTCAAGAAGCATTGATTCAACAAATTCAATCAAATGCATGCTCTATCAATACAGCTCCCGCTACAGCTACTAAAATTCCTTTGGCCACTGAACAGTTGAATCAAAATAAAGTTGGTAATTTTTTTGATGCCCAAATTGTTACAGATGGCTCAGGTTCGATTTTAACAACTCAAGCTGTCCCAATCACCACCCCAGTGACAGTTTCAGTTGCAAATCCAACTACCACATTAATTACAGCCACCCCGATTATTTTACAACAAAAAACTATAGATCCAGTGCCGGATAAATTTCCGATTACTAGACTTGCGACTATACCTGCTACTAATCAAAGTAATCCTCGTCAATCAACCACCCCTTCTATCAAAAGAGAGCCTCAATCACCTCAAAGTGATTGTGAAAGTCCTAAACGAGGTAAACATGCCGTACCCGAAAAACGAACCGCTCATAATGCTATTGAAAGAAGATACCGATCATCTATTAATGATAAAATCACTGAATTAAAAAATATGGTTGTTGGTACAGACGCTAAACTCAACAAATCAGCAGTTCTCAAAAAAGCAATTGAATATATCCATCATTTAACGACTTCTAATAATAAATTGAGACAAGAAAATTTAGCTTTGAAAGCAGCTTTAGCTAATGACAATGGTTCACTTAAATCGCCAACCAGTATCCCAGCCTCTGATTCACAAGATATTACTCCACCTATTTCTGATTGTTCTTCATCAGCCTCTTCACCAGACCAAAGTGGCATCCGATCTCCTTCTGAACCCGAATCACCAATTATTTGGGCATCTGATGGTTCACGAATGTTACTTTGCGTCTTTGTTTTCGGACTTCTTGCTTTCAATCCATTCTCAATTTTCTTGAATTCCGATGATATGCAAACTTCTTTCGCTGGTAGCACTGATCATGGCTCTGGTCGGTCAATTCTTAGTATTTGGCATACTGACAATTCTCTCGGGTGGACTGAATTATTAATATCCTACTGGAAATCAATCGCACTTTGGTTACTTAATATTTTTATTTGTTTTATTACTTTGAAAAGAGCCTTTCATCATTATCCAATAACTGATCAAGGTGAAAGAAAATATTGGATATACATGGTTCAAGCTAATCAAGATCTTCAAAAGGGTAACATAAGATCTGCTCAGCACAATTATATGGCTGCTCTTGAAATTGTTCGTCGTTCAACACTTCCTAAAACTCTTCCTGGAGAAGTATTGGCTGTTACATGGCAGCTTATCCGTTTCTGGTTACACTTCTTTTATCTCGGTCGATTGTTAGAGGATTACGAGTACCAAGATAAAAATCTTCTTAGTATTGCCTGTTTCCTCCACTGTAAACTAAATTCGATCGATTTAATTGTTAACCAAGGGAAATTTTCTCTCATGGGATATTTTTATGCTTTATCGGCCATAAACGAATCTAAAGCTTTAGGACATGAATCTGGACCTTTGGTTAGTTCACATATTTTGGCTGCTTTGCGATTCAAGATTATCTCCAATCTTTACGCTCGTTATTTTTTGAGAAGAGCTTTGTCTTACTGCAAATCTGATAAAATTGAACATTACCTTCTCAACCCTATTGGGCGCAAATTTTTTAACAAATCACATCATCATTGGAACTACACAGCTGACAAGTCTTCTATTTTTGTCAAGACTCCGGAAAAAATTGTTGATCCATTCACATATAATTCAAGAGAATATAGACGTTATTTGATTAAAAAATCAATTTTAACCATGATAAACCCAAAAAGTGGAATAAAAACAGAGAATAGTTCATCAAAGGTAAACAAAGGCCGTAGTAATTTATCGATTTCATTGCTGGCAGTCATCAGTGAGTTGTCAAACAATAGTAAACTATTTGGTGATGACATTGCTTACTGGTGGAGCAATGTAATCAAAGCTGCTTATTTCTGGTTCATCGGAGATGATCAATCAGCTCACGCAGTTACTTTGATTATTCCTGACAGTTTACGCAACAATTCGTTGGCCATCACCCTTTTATTAGGTGGTAAAATGAAAAAATATATTGAAATTAAAAAACCAAAAGATACTAAAATTCTGATGAAATTATTGGATCGGGCAAGTTACGAGTTATGGCGATCAATAGAGATGAATGAAAGTCAAAAGCTGCAAGATGATTGTAATCAACAAATAATCCAAGCTTTCCAATTGTTATGCACTGAATGGCTACTTTCAACACGATTGAAACTTTGGGAATTGAATTGTGACTCACTATCTTCATCCAGTCAATATCATATTAGAGGGTTCCGTAAAGATTTATCAACTCTTCGGTATATGGTTCAACTTATTCCAAGTGGAAAAACTAAATTGTACCTTCACGAAGGATCCTATCGATTAATAAGTGGATCAAACCCATTAATTGCTCAAAATCTTTTAGAAAGAGCATTAAGAAAAAGAAGACAAAATGGCTTAAGTAATATTATTTGTGCTACTGGGGAACAAAGGAATACTCTGTCAATCAATGATCAAAAAGACATTGTAAATGCATTGTTCATGATTGGCAAACACTTACCTTCTCAATGTTTATCCTGTTCTGGTGAAAAAGAAGGCTACCTTAAAGAGGCAGAAGCCATTATGAATCGACATCAAAGTGACAAAAGCCTTCTCTTGTAAATACTAACTGTAATCAATTGAACCATGCTACATTTACGTAGTCAGCTTCATTTCTTTTATTCAATCTCATTTATTGTACAATAAATTTATAGATTTGACGAGAATATTCATAGTGTATTTCATTTTGTCCTTAATAAATCTTTTCATATCTATTACTTTTATGCTAATACTTATTTACTCTTAAGCTATAAATACATTAAAATATATAGTTAAATATATATTTTTCGAGTAATTTAAATCGTCAAATCAGGCTTAAAATTTTGTTTACTAACACCAGTAACAGTAAAAAATTAAATCAAAAACTTAACTTTGAAACAAGCGCCTTACAAAAGATACTGTTATGGTTACTAGGATACGCGTCCCACTTCCCATATTTTCAAATCTTCAAATTGGTGGTCGTTTCAAACGTCTCGTTTGTTATTTGACAAATAATATCAGTTCTTTGCTTGTTCCCAAGTTATAACAGGAATAGTTATGCATTGTCAAACTTTTAATTTCAATAATATGGTGACTCCTCATCGTGTTTGTCGAGAAATAAATCAGAATGGTAGCCATACTTTTATCATACCTCCACCATCACCTAAAAGAGTCGACGAGAATGAAGAAACTCCGATATTGTTACTGGAATCTTTTCAAAGACCACCATTTGTCAACTTTGGAAAGGTTGATATTGGTTCTAAATCGATGAAAAGTTGTATCGTTCACAATCCTGCTGATGTAGCGCAACAACTGAAAATTACAAAAATTCCTAAACCAGAAGATGGATTTACAATCGATGATGTTCCAATCACCTTGGATGCTGGTCAAAAGATATCGTTTAATGTTACTTGGTGCCCCGATAAAGTTGGCAATGTGCGGGGAAAAATACATTTTGTTACCTCTTTCAATGAAAAATTTGAAGTGACTTTAATAGGAACAGCTGCAGAGAAAAAAAAACTGAAAAGACGAGCTAATCAAAGAAAAAGAGCGTTGATTCCGACTTTCGAGCAAATTTCTTCCGGACCAAATGAACAAAATTTAACTGCCAATAAGCAAACAACTTGTGTCACTCGAAAACAACATCAAGAAGCTACCGATGAAAGAGACCGAAAGCTCGAAGCTGCAGCAATAATCATCCAAAAAAATTGGAAAGGATATTTTGCACGAAAACAATTCTCCAAAATGAAACTTGCAAGCAGCAAAATTCAAAAGTGGTGGAGATCATACGTCAATCAACGAAAATCTGATAGACGGGACACATTCGTTGTAGCTGTTCCATATAACGCAGCTTTAACTATACAGAAATACTGGAGAGGGTTTAAAGTCCGTAAGGATTTTGCCATGATAGCTCAAAAGAAGCACTATATTGTTCCTGTTCTACAAAATAATACTAGCCAAGATTCGTTACAAATTAAGGATACGCCAGCTCTCCCACTTGGCTTCCGAACTGATATTGCATTTAAAAAGCTCATCAATTATCGAAAATTCTGTCAATTACAAGCCGCTCTTTCATCTTTGGAGACCACTACTAAGATATCTCCTGAATCTTGCTGTAAAATTGCTTCACCATCTACTGTGGATACTATTCTAGATATAATCAAGAGTTCAAATAGAAGTGAACCTTCCAAATTAGTAATCTCGCATGCTTTCAGCATTTTATTGAGTCTGGTCAAGGTAAGTTAATCATCAAATCCAAATTTTTCCTATCCTAAAAAACGTCCTATTTCCGTTATTTTAATTTTCATTTCTTTAATAATGCAATATTTACTTTTCTTTGTCGTAGTTTGAAAAAACCCAGGACCTGGTCGTAGATTGCCGAGCAGTTATTGATATTTGTATTGAAAAAGCAAAAGTTCATAATAAAGTGGAAAACATATTTTGTAAATGTTTAACTCTCATTTATCTGATGGTTGTTAAAAGTTCTAATAGAGATGTAAGTATCATTGTGGCAGTATCAAACGATTGAATTGTTATTTATCAAACTTTTTTCTTTTACTTTTCAGGCCATTATCTCTGATCTAAAAATCAACAAAAATCTGATGAGTCTTATTGCGCTAGAAGCTTCATTCATCAAATCTCACAAAAAACGTAAAATATCCAAAGAGATTGTATTCTATCCTTATTGGTCATCGGCTAAAAATGTTACATACGAATTCACTGATCGCTTCACAGCTCTTGAACATGTTAATTATATTTTTAAAAGCAAACTGTTCTAATCTTCAAACATTTCATATACATATTATCGCAAATTTTTTAACAAATCACATCATTATTGGAACTGCACAGCTAACAAGTCTTCTATTTTTGTCAAGACTCCGGAAAAATGCTAATTCAAAGCATTCTAATCTCCAAACCTCCTTTCATAAGCCATATTAATTTCAAAACAAAGCATCCGCTTTATTTTACTTATTCTCATTAACTTTCTAACTGACTTTTTTACGTCCAAATCAAGCAAATCCATTTTGTATGCTGAAAAATACGACATATTTTACTTCACTTCTCACTCGATTGACGGTTATTCTTTGCATTAATTTTTGATAATTTGTTGAAAGATGATAAATCTTAATAAATCATGTAAGCTCATCACATTTTTATTCATTAATTTAAAAATTTAAAATATCTTTCTTTATCTTTCCCTCTTTCTAGAATAATCACATATCTTTTGTATTTTAATGAAGTTTCACATTTATTTTGTTAACTCATCTAATCTAATTTAATATTAAAATGATCAAACCCCGTCAAATTGAAGTTATTATTTTTGATCGAAGTTAGTTCTTAAAAATGAAAATGGTCTCAACAGATGACGCTAAAGCTAGTTTGTTGTTAGATGCTATCTCCCTCAGTATTTTGCGAAACAAACTGATTTCGACAATTGATTGATTGTTAAATTTTATTACATTCCATCATTTTTTTCTTCTGATTTTAATATTTCGGTTTAAAGTCTTGTAATCATTATAATTTTAACTGAGGCTCTTAAGTTTACACTCACGGTGCAACTTCCAATAATTATTACTCTGTGCTCTTTTTGCTTGTTTCTGCATTGTTTTGGTAAGTATTTTACTTTTTGTCAACACAATTATCAACGGGCTTGATTATCAATTTCCTCGAAAATTTTGCCTTACCAACACTTGATAGACTTACTATATCTAGTCCAATTATGTGATACATTATCGTAGTGAGCGAAGTTTAATGTCATTAGTGTCTTTAACAAAAATTTTCTATTAAACAAGTTTGTTTTTGTGATGGTATGATAATGACTTTTAATTCTATCTTTTCAGTTTGAGAAGAAGTCTCATCAATATCAATACTTTAATGATTTGAAATTTGAATGAATCTCTGAATGAATTAAATATCTCACCTATTTAGCTGTTGTCTCTTGAATTATACATAGATGGTAAGTATTTTTTTCTTTGATCATCTGTTTTTCTCCTTGATTTTCATATTAGGGAGTAACACTTATTTTGCTATCTGCTGACTGTTTATCTACTATTTCCCCTATTCTTATTATAGTCCGCAGAAGGAAATTACCACTTTATGCCTGGATCATTTTCAAAAGGGTTTGGTTATGAAGAAACTGACGAAGAAAATGGTTCAAGAGAATCAATTGTTCATCTTCACCATCCAGAAGACAGCGATAACGTAGCTAGTTCATCTGCTGGTATTTGTGGAGGTCAGCCTAAGCCTAAGGTTTTGATTATGGGACTCAGAAGAAGTGGCAAATCAAGTATCCAAAAGGTTGTTTTCCATAAAATGTCTCCCAATGAAACCCTTTTTCTAGAAAACACCAACAAAATTGTGAAAGATGACATATCAAATTCATCATTTGTGTCCTTCTCAATTTGGGATTTCCCTGGTCAAATTGATTTCTTCGACCCTTCCTTTGAAACTGAGAATATATTTGGTGGATGTGGCGCTTTGGTTTTCGTTATTGACGCACAAGATGATTATGTTGAAGCACTTTCTAAACTTCACACCACAGTTACTAGAGCTTACAAGAATAACCCCAATATTAAATTTGAGGTTTTCATACACAAGGTTGATGGACTTTCTGATGATCTTAAAATTGACATTCAGAGAGATATCCAGCAAAGAGCCAATGATGAATTATTAGGTATTAATCTTTAATGGGCATCATCTTTGTTATTTTTCATGTTTTTAAATTCATTTTATTTTATTCATAGATGACGGATTCAAGAACATACATCTCAGTTACTATCTCACCTCAATTTATGACCATTCAATATTTGAAGCCTTCTCAAAGGTTGTTCAGAAATTAATTCCTCAATTGGGTACATTGGAAAATCTTCTTAATATTTTTATTTCGGTAATTGACACTTTTTCGTTGATTTTTAATTTAATCATATCAATTTCATCATAAATCAACGTATTCTAATCAAATTTTTTTTTCTGATTAAAGAATTCTGGAGTTGATAAAGCTTTCCTTTTTGATGTTGTCAGTAAAATTTATATTGCAACTGATGGAAGTCCTGTGGATATGCAATCATATGAATTATGTTGCGATATGATTGATGTCGTTATCGACATTTCATGTATTTATGGGTAAGATTTATTTGATATTCTACCCCCCTATTCGCCTAAATTATTCAATTATTGTTCTAATTGATTGCTATTTTTCTACTTTTAACAGTATCAAAGATGACGGAGAAGGAGCAACATTCGATTCAAACTCATCAGCTATCATCAAATTAAATAACAAAACAGTGCTTTATCTTCAGGAAGTTAATAAATTTTTAGCCTTAGTTTGTTTGATCAGTGAAAATAATTTTGAAAAACAAGGATTAATACAGTATAATTTTTATTGCTTCCGAGATGCTATTCAACAGGTCTTCGAAGACCGGTGTGCCAAACTTTTCTCTGAAACATTACAAGAAATCTCTTGCTGATGATTCGAAGAAATACATCATTGCCATTCTCATGTCTATTTTTCCTTCCTCTCACTTTCTTCTCATTCACCAATTGAGTTGAAAAAAGTTGAAAATCTATGATTGTAACTATCAATATTGGAAATAACTTTTTCTTATCTTTTAACGAATTGAATCTTGTTTAATGTGAATAAATCGGTTTTGAATATTAATAATTTGATTAGTTTCTATAAAAAAATTTCATGAGAAATCTGTGAATCAGATACAATACTTACAAATTTAGCCATGTGAATGGTTAATACTTGATGAAAAAACTCCGTAACTGTTTTCTACCACCAAAAATTGGACAATCAGATACCTTCATCACAACGTCCATTACTTAGTTAAATAAAAATCAAGTCAATGATTGATTTGGATCGAAACAAGCTTCGCTTTCAGTTTGTATGGATAAAAATATTTTTATTTTCTGGCAATTAACGGAAAGTTGAAGTGCCTTCATAAGAATCTGATATGGTTTGCAGAATAACATCGGTCTTGTTATCACTATTTAGATTAATTGTTCATTGCAATCTATTATCTCACATCTGTCTTGGTAAGTTGATTAGTTTTTCTTACAGTATCTTGATTCTTAAAAACATCTTGTTTGTTTTTATTTTAATTTATGGCTTTCTCTTGTTCGTCTCATTCTTTCTTTTCTACACCTTACCTAAATCATATCAAATAGCTAGATTTGTTTGGATTCAATAATAATCAATGGGATTAATTCTTATTTTATTATCTGAGTAAGGAGTAAATCACAAAAGATCCGAGTTTTTCTGTGGAACAAGCGAATGAAGGCTCATCATCTGTTTGGTTTTTACTTTGTATTTTGATTTTTTGTCCATTCCTCATCTCTGAAAACATTTGTTTAATCTGTTCTATTGTTTTATTTGTTTATATTGCGGCTCCAACACACAACCAAAGCTATGGATACCGGTGATCACCAACTAGACCATGATCTTGTTCCTATTTTGTCAGAAAACCAAGAAAGATTTGATAAATTGCGAGCCTTCTTTCGAGAAAAATACAATGAAAATCCATCTTACATTGTCCGAGTTCCTGGTAGAGTTAACTTGATTGGTGAACATATTGACTACTGTGGATTCGGTGTTCTTCCTATGGCAATTGAACAGGACGTATTAATAGCTGCCAAGGTTAATTATGATCGTTTAGTTCGTCTCGCCAACATGGATTCAGACAAATATCCTGATGTTGTTTTCCCTCTTGAAAATTTTACCATAGCCATTCCACCCAACTGGTACCATTATGTGCTGTGTGGACTCCAAGGAGCAAAAGACTTACTGAAATGTTCTCAAAATCTAGAAGGATTGAACATAGCAATTTGGGGCATTATTCCATCATCATCTGGTTTATCAAGCTCATCAGCTTTAGTTACAGCTTCTCTGTTGGCTACTTATTATTCAGCTGGATATCGAGGAGATCTGTGCAAATTGAAATTTGCTGATGCAGCAGCCAAGTGTGAAAGATACATTGGTACACAGGGCGGTGCGATGGATCAATCAATTGCCATGCTTGCACGATCTGGATTTGCTAAATTAATTGAATTTGAACCAATTTTGAGAGCAGCTGATGTTCGTCTTCCTGTTGGTAGTTGCTTCTTCTTTTCCCACAGCGGAAAAACTTGCAACAAAGCTGCTACAGAAGATTTCAATGCAAGGGTTCTCGAAACTAAAGTTGCCTCTCTTATGATTGTTGACCATTGTCACTCAATCATGAAACCTGGTCACATTACTTGTCCTACTCTGGCTCAAATAAAGAAGCAAATGAACAAAAATTTCGATGAGATGCTTGAGATTGTCAACGAGTCCATTGAGATGGGAAAAGTTTACAAGGTTTCAGATCTTATTAAGCATTTTGATCTTAAAGATTCGAAAGAACTCGCTTTTCTGCTTTCAAATGGATCGACCGGTACAATGGAGAGGATGCTAAGTGTCTGCACAATTATGAACAAGGCTTCAAAATTCATGACAGAGCAACTCATGTTTACTCAGAAGCTCAAAGAGTTGAAAAAGTGTTCAACTGTGCTCAAATAATGGTCTATCTGGTGACCAAATCTTGACTGAAATAGGACAATTGATGAATGAAAGTCATGATAGCTGTTCAAATCTGTATGAATGCAGTTGCCCAGAAGTGGATACTTTGGTTGCTCATGCTAAATCATTTGGTGCTTTAGGATCAAGAATGACTGGAGCTGGGTGGGGCGGTGGTGTTGTCTCATTGGTACCAGAGCATTTGTCCTCCCAATTTCATGAACCAATGGCCCAAATATCATTATTCACAGTTGCTAGTCTACCTAGTCAAGGAGCAACCATCTATATCTAACCTTAAACCTCAATTAAACTCGAATCGAATACATTTTAAAACGAAAACTGATTCTAATTCATCTTTAATGGTTGAAAAAATAATCATCCCAAATAAGATCTGGTTCAAGACTATCAAAAAGCCTTTTTTTATGAAATTTCAATTTTGATGAATGACAAAAATGGTTCCATTTAATGGTTTGCACAAAAAGAATCAAATTTTTGGGCATTATCTTTCCATTTTATAATCCATTCAATTATGGATAAAATAATATTCATAAATGACTTTACATTGTTATTGAAATATTGAAAGGGAAATGAATAAATGTACATTTGATAAAATCAATAACAATCGAAAAGGTTAGTTGGACACAAAATTGTCTATAAATGTTACTTGCAATGCGATTAATATTACATTAAGCTTAACTTTTTCATTAAGCTGGACAAAATTATCAGCTGAAAAGATTGCTATCTTGATAATACTTTGATTCAACCTTTGATTTCAGGGTTTTGATTGAAAGTTTGGGTTAATCCAAAATCAATTGTTTCACTGTTTCTTACACAGAATCATGATGATGATGATTACAAGAGTGAAAATAAAAGGTAAAGCCTAAAATGAAGAAAAGTTGAACCTTTTTTGGACAAAATAGACTACAAAATTTAAAGTTACACCCGATTGTGAATTAAAGGTGTGTACATTGATTGAGCTAATTGAAGTTGATTGTGAGTTAATAAAAGAAAGGGTTTATTTTTGTTATACAAGGACGATACATAGATGAATAATGGTTTAATGAACATTATTAGACACTCTTGATTACAATTACTTTCCGTAAATATAACATTAACCTTATTCGGGTTGAAACAATAAATTTGCAATACAGATATAAACAGAGACAAGGAAAAAGCAGAACACAAAACAAAGATTGACTCAATGTGATTAAATAATAGATTTGTGTGTCAAATTTGTTTGGTTAAATGGTGAAGCTGTTTAAATGCTGAATTAAAATAACTGTATAACCAGTTGGTGAGGTTAATAATGGGAATAATAATGATAATAAAAGGGAATGGATTAAACAAGTTTGCGCTTTCCTAAGCAAAATCTAAATCATCTGTATTTAGTGTCTAATAAGAAGCCAATTTAGCTATTTCAATAATAATAACATTTTCTCATGTATTATTATTGCTATTATTATTGTTAGCATTGTTGGTATTGTTACTATTATTATCATTGTAATAGATTGAAGGAAACAAATTACAAATTTTTATATTGTGAATGTTCAATGAATAGGAAGAAAAGATGATTCAATTGAAAACCAGAATTATATTCACTTTTCAATGTGATACTTCTGGTTATAACATTTTCATTTGGTTGGTCAAATAAGTTGATGATCAGGTTGCTTGGTGAACAATAAAATTAAATTGATAATTGTTCAGCTTTAGTCTCATGTTTTTGTTTGAATAAAGGCAAAATTACAAGATAAGCTTGAAAGTCAACGGATTAATAGGTTTAATCTAAATTGGACATTGTTAATGAATCATTATTAATGATGCAAAAAAATGATGTCTTTTAATGCTGTTAATCATAATAAGCATCTTGTTGGTGATAATTATTGCTTGTAATTTCAATGTAATTGTAATATCAAAGCATGCATTTTACGAGTTTGCAAGTTGATTAATGAAGGTGAAACAAAAGAGGTTATTTTATGATCCTGATGATGATGATTATTTTAGTGTGAAAAATGAACTTTTTTTTGCCCTTTTCTAGTGATTTTCAAATGAAATATTTGCTGAAATGTTGGCTGATAAAAAGGATGGAAATGTTAGGATTAGATTGACATGAATTTAGGGTTACCTGTCCATGAATTGCAGGTTTATAAGGTTACATTTGTAACAGTTTGTAACTGTTAAACTACCAAAGCAAATGTTTAAAAATCAAATAAACTGGTTGACTTGAGTAAGTGATGATCAGTAAAGGTATAAAGGTATTAGATGAGGTAAACAGTGCAGACTTACAGAGTAGGACTCCAAATGATAACCTTCAATAAGCAAAGGTAAATTGGGAATTGTGATGAGAAAACGTATTTGGATCAATATATCGATTTCTTGATTTCTCTCCCTTTCTTTTTCTCTTCTTTCTTTCTTCCTCATCATCATCATCATCAACATCTACATCTACATCATCATCATTATCATCGTCTTTTACTTTAACTTGGCAACAGTCATTTTCCTGCTTTCATGAAACCTTCCAAAAAATTGAACAATTTTATTTAACCCAGGAATTGGAAGGCAAAATGAAATGCAAAAATTGCCAAAAAATAAATTTCCAGGTTCATTTTGATTAGCAAATTTGTATATTACAATTGACTCAATTTAGTGCTGATTAGTTGATAACCAATAGTTTATATTGATCATTTACATTTGCATCTTTTCAATTTTGCATTTTTACTTTTTCCACTTTTCTTGTATTTTATATTTTTCATTGTATTTCTGTATTTCAATCATCGTTTCAAACTTGACTCTTTGCGTTTTGTTGATCAATTACATTGATTTTTGATTCTCTCAATTTATTTAAGTTGTATTTCATTTGATTTTGTGTCTCGTCAGTTGATTGATAGTTTTTTTGTCAATTTATCTGATTTTTGCTTCCATTTGTTGGCTTTGCTCTGTTTATTTATGTAGTGATTAGTACAAATATTGTTAACTTTTAATGATTATCACTTTTAGGTCAATGATTTATTGATATTTTTCTACTTTTTTTTCTGTGTTTGTCAAAGAAACAATCGAGTTGTACAGCAAAAAATATCGTTCTTATATTTAACATTGCAAGGTTTTTTTAACACACTTTCATGTCTTTTGTAATTGACAAATGTTATTTTCGTTATGAAAGAAGAGATGATGATTAATTGATTCTCATTGTATGCAGAAGGATATTCCAACAATTTAAATGATAACAATTGCATTTTTTTCTTGAATTCATTCGCATTCTAGATTGGTTGCAAATCAAGCTGTTAACCGATTTTTATAATTTCAAGTGTAAACTACTGTGTTTGGTTTTCCCTCCCCTTCTGGTAACTAAGAGATGACAAACCTTGGGCATGTGCTCTCTATAAATGCTGATTGGGTTGAGTTTGCTCTCATCTCAATCTAGTTTCAATTTCAACTGAATTCAGTTGTTTTTCATCCGTGAATTCTGTCTCTATCTCTTTCTCTCTCCCTCTCGTTGTCTATCTGTCTACCTATTTCTCTGTCTTTCTGTCTCTGTGTTTGTTTCTCTCTGTAATTGTGTTTCAATTTAATCTTTTTCTCAATAATCTTCTATTGGTCAACTTATTATAAACATACATTTACTTCATCGACATCTTCATCTTCATCAGATTTAAAATTATTCACCTTGTACCTGAATTAAAACAATAGTATTATATAAGATGGCTGACCAGCTAACTGAAGAGCAAATTGCTGAATTTAAGGAAGCCTTTTCATTGTTTGATAAAGATGGTGATGGTACAATTACCACCAAGGAATTGGGAACTGTTATGAGAAGTCTAGGTCAAAATCCAACAGAAGCGGAATTACAAGATATGATCAATGAAGTTGATGCCGATGGTAATGGTACTATTGATTTTCCTGAATTCTTGACTATGATGGCTAGAAAAATGAAGGATACAGACTCAGAGGAGGAAATCCGTGAAGCTTTCCGTGTTTTTGATAAAGATGGTAATGGTTTTATTTCTGCTGCTGAATTGAGACATGTAATGACCAATTTGGGTGAAAAATTGACCGACGAAGAAGTAGATGAAATGATTCGTGAAGCCGATATTGACGGTGATGGTCAAGTTAATTATGAAGGTAAGTAATATTTAAAATTTTCAATCAATAGTACATTTATTACCTATTATAGTTGATATTTTGTCATGTATTTATTTGTCTCATTTTTCTATTTTTTTTTTATTTTTTTCCCATTTTTCCTATTTTTCTATTTTTTCTGTTTCTATCTCTGTAATTTCTGTATTTCTCTATCACTCTGTTACTATTTCTCCATTTCTCGACTACTCTATTACTATTTCTCTATTTCTATCATTTATTTATTTTCTCTCTCTCTCTCTCTTTGTAAACAGAATTTGTAACGATGATGACATCCAAATGAATAAAAGCACAAGGTTAATTGTTCATTTTAATTAGATCCAATGGATCCAATCAGTGACAGGGATAAAAATTAATCAATAAAAGATGAAAAGCAAAAATACAATGGAAGCTATCATCACAAATCTTCATTTTTCATCCAACAAAAAATGGAACGTTTTTTCTGCGTTGCTACAATTTTCACAACTTCTTCTTCTTCTTGATTCTTTATGTTCAGCCATACTTTAATTTTCGGTCAAAATTTCAATTTGAAACTGATTGAAAATATTTAAAAAAAAATATCCTCAGATTCCGGTTTTTCTCTCCTTTTTCCTCTTTAATCTCATCACATTCAGATCAATGTAATCAATTCACGCTTTTGACTGCGTGGTCTAATAGATTATATAACACGAAATTTGCTTTTGATTACTTAATTAAATTTATGTTTTTTGTTTTGTTTTATCTGACTTCACTTTCTCAATTGATCAACGAGTAATCAAAATTGTGTAAATTTCACTTTTAAATTTGGATTAATTTTGAAAAGAAATAAATTTTAATCCAAATTGATACAAAATTGTTTGATTGTATATTAATTTCACATTAATACAATATTTACTTCAATCATCACTATTAACTATCGCTTTCACCCTAAACATAACCATTAACCATCACTATTCACCGACATCAACATCATCACCAACATCACCACCAACACACCATTACCATCAATTGCATCACTATCATCAACATTGAATCAACAATGGTCGCGGTTCAATCAAACTCTGAGACAGTTCAATAACAAACTTATTAAAAAGGATTGATTGTTCGTAAATTTTGTCCTCCAAATCATTCAATTGTCACTAGGAAATCTCTAGGATGTGAAGTGAGTGATACATCCACCACCTTACAACAATGGTAAAACTGGATCTGAATTTACTGGATAGTGCCACGCCCAATACATAAGACACTATACTCGCAGTTGTAACTGTCAACCATGTCATAACATTGTCATCCAATGGTTTTTCATTCCACCATTATTATTGGCTACGAATGAATCAACGAAAACTAAGGCCCAACAGGCTGAAAAACAACAACAGTAACAACAACAAACAGCCGTGGCAGCAGCAGTAAACCAGAGCAGTTGAGCAAATTGCGGCTGGCAATGTTGTTAATTTTATTCAATCATCAAATGGCTGTATGGCAATGCAATTCAACGCATTGGAATTGTTCAACCGATTCTTTCTTTTTATTAAACACAATTTGTAACCATGATGACATCAAGATGACATGCTGTTAAATGATTGACAGGCATCATGAGAAAAAAAAACAAAAATCTATTATCATTATTGAATTCAAATAACTTGATCATTCCTGTAAGCTATTTAACCCTGATTTTGTTTTAAATTAAATTTCTTGGTGAGCTCGTCTTGATTAATTCAATCAGTGAGTTATGAAAAAAAATGATTATTCAATGTTAAGATTAAGTAATAAAGCATAAGCAAATCCATTGATAATCCATAATCAAATATCAATATCGAAATCATTTCTTTCAATCAGGCGAACTTTCAAGGATCATTCTTATCTTATTAATTGTGTATGATATTATATCATTGATATAATATACAATAGTTAATGAAGATAAATTATTTACAATAGTCAGCCCTTTTCAACAACAGTTTTATTAAACAGTTAGATTTGATTCAAGATGAGTCCTCTTCATCTCTTGGGCAGACGTATTTCAATTGAGGTGAAATAATTTGAAATGTTGGTGAATAGACGATTTTCTTGAAATAAATCTTTCTAATGTTTTGATTTTCTATTAATGCAAGCGAAACGATTGCATGTTGGAACTGAAATTGAAAACTGAAAACCTTTATCTTAATTAATCTTAATTGAAGTCTGTTTTAACTAATTGAAGTCATAGTTAATACTTGCGCTTCTTACTGGGTGAACAGTGGGCTTTGATAATTATAAAAGTTGGTTTATTTTCACAATAGAACGAAAAAGCTAGAGTATTTAATATTAAAATGTAGAGAAATACTTGAAGTTACGAATAAATATGCTCAAAGTGATCGCCATTGGTGTTGACACAAGCTTCTAGCCGTCTAGCAAAGGAGTCATATACATTTTCCAGCATCGTATCAGTGACCTCAGAAAGTCGGTTATATGAACACTTTTCAGTTTTTGCATTTATTTTTTTTTTGGTTAATTTACAAGACATAAGTCTCATAAATAATCATTCAGAGTCACAATATTTTAATGTACTGGGTGTATCAGTCAATAGCCGGTTTTGAATGGCTAATAACTTTTTGTCCTTTGCTCGAATTTAAAAAATTTTTCAAATCCTTATAGTTAATTAGTCAAAATTTTTGCTTCAAATGATATCTTTTAAAATATTCTGCGTCCTTTCACTCACGAGCTATGACTCGAAGTCGATATATGAAGCCTTCATTGAAAATAAGTTTTTTGACTTTGAGCCAGTGTTGCACCCTGTAGACTCATTTCTTTTCTTTGAAAGTTACCAGAAACAAAACTTTGACTCATTGGCTATATGGATTTGTAAAAATTTTTAGATCGAGCAAAGGACGAAAAAGTTATTAACGATTAAAACTGGCTATTTGACTGATACACCCTGTATAAAGATGAACGATGTATCCGTCATGATTTGATGACTTCTGACAGTGAACTTTAATGATGAATCTTGGTCACAATTTAGATTCATTGCTTATTCACATCTTACTTGATAACATTGATATTTCAGGCTAATCGTACGTTCATTATCTCAGCAGTAAAAACGTAACTTCTGACGCTATTTATGGCAGTCCATTTAAACAAAAGTGTTTTGTACCTATTAAAATATTTACGTGCGTTAATCAGTTTGTTAATTGCTTCAAACTCTTATGTAACTGCAGGAAATTGAATTACCGGTGTATAAATAAATGTTTTCACGTTTTTTTCGCATATTCAAACTAAAAATATTCTCACAATGATTTTAACTCGGTGTTTTCAATAATTAAATCCTGAGAAGTAGACTCTTCCGATTTATAATAGTTACAGTTATTCAAAAGGTTGTTCATTGAAGGTTGTTTAACTGTTTTTTTTTCAATAAAATAACTTCTCATGACAAAATCGCGATAGTAACCAAGGGTTCATCTAATTGCAAATGGTTGAGTTAAAATGCAATTTCATAATTCCATATCTTTTTCATTGAGTGTATAAGATCGATCACTTATCCTCAAGGAAGATTTTAACACAGAAATCAAACGTTTTATACACAAAAGCCGAAAAAACGGTGTGCATTGATGATGTTGACAAATTTATTATAAAATTCTCGCAAAAACTGATGTGTGAAGATTGATTAGATTTAAGTTTTTTCACTGTTTTTCAAAGGATGAAGACCAAAAGAATAGGGTAAACTGCCTAGAGAGAAATCTTTTTCTTATACCGGGTGATTTAGAATGACTCTTCGACGTTTGTTCATTAATTACTAAAAAGCGCATATATTTTGATTGAAATAAGTTATGAAACATCAGACCTGCATTAGTAAATAACTTTTCTACTTGTATTTGATCATTGAAAATTTCGATCTCTCTCCGCTACAGCGTGCTTACTGCAAAATGGAAGCTGTCAGATTCGATTAACTTCAAATACCTGTTGTGGAAAAATTATTCACTGTTCAACATTCAAATCTATTTTTTCTATTTAATTAACTATTGCTATTAATCTGAATGAAATTTCATAGCTCAACCTCAACTGGTTCAAAAGTTATTCTTATCTGATTCCATCGATGATGGCCTCATTCATCGAGCTGAAGACAATTTTCGCTCTTGTAAATTACTTTGTTAAAATTTTTACTTAAGTGTGTTATAGATTCGTGGAAAGTTTCAATCTAAATGATCTACATTGTAATTCGATAAAAAAACGTGCATCTGAAGACTGTATTCACGCAATTTTGACAAACCAAACTTGAGGGTAATTTTTTGCTCAAAGCGACAATTATTGCACCGAAAAACATTTCGAGAGTCAAATGATAGCTTCTTATTAATTCTTCTTCTTGGTTATCAATTTGTGTCTTTGCAACTCGAAAAGAACGTTCCAATTAAGCTTTGCAAAAAAAATTGGCAAAGAAACATATTAAGCATTCTTGCCATGTTCAAATGGCCATAGGCAGCTTATCACTTCGATAATGATTTATCATTGATGCTAAACGTTGTCATTTTGAAAATGTTTTCAGGTGATTTTTATTATGTTGATTTACTTTTTACCAGATTTGAGTTAATTTCAACAAATATTTATAAAGTTATGTAAAATCAAACGTCGAAGGGTCATTGACAATCACCCTGTAGTTAGCTATGATGTGAATGATGAATTCATTACTTTAATCTATTTTTTACGAAAACTTTTCGTTTTCGAGATATCACGAAAAAACGTAGAAAATGCATAAGGACAAATATCACGGAAACTTGCGGTGAAAGCACTTTCTGAATGAATTTTTTAGATGCAGAATTCAGTTCTGAGTTAATTAAAGTGGTTTATTTTGATCTAAAATGGCGCAAAACTGATCATTTTCACATTAGTTTGATTATTTCGCCGTTATTGAAAATACGGATCAATAATCAAAGGTGAAAGCACTTTCTAGATAATTTTTTCAGATGTAAAATTGAATTATGATTTTAATGTTGTGATTTATTCCAATCAAAACTGGCGCAAAACTGGCCATTTTTTCGAAAAATGCCATTGGTCTTCGGTATTGAAAAATCGTAATATGGTCAGTTTTCCGCCAGTTTTGATCAGAATGTATCACACCATTAAATCATAATTCAATTTTACATCTGAAAAAATTATCTAGAAAGTGCTTTCACCTTTGGTTATTTTGCTATTCTTTCCCATGCATTTCTTACGTTATTTCATGATATTTCACAAACGAAAAATTATTTTGTAAAATGGATCAAAGAAATGGATTCAGCATATATAATACATTTAGTTTTACATCATATACGTTCATCACAAGAAATTTCATTTCTAGGCAGTTTTGGCCTTCCTCCTTTGCTGGTCACTCAACAATATTCTGAAACCATTTCATCATTGGGTTACGATTAAAGCAACTTATAGTTAATTGAAGAAGGCATTTCATCAAGCGACAACTCAAGCAAATTGAACGCAAGCTGGAAAACGGAGTATTGATGTGATGGAGCAGTATTATCTCGACATTCATTTGTTGACGGGGACAAGAAAAGCTCTCTGGCATTATTCTGAAATGAAAAATTCTCATACTATTTCGGAAATCTGTCTATGCAAACGCCTGTTAAATAACATTGTATCTTAAAATCGATGCCTGGCAATTATCTAAAACGATGGTTGACTCAGTTAAATTTTTTAGTAAAAGTTTCCCTTCTATTAAAGATTATTTTCTGAAAGAATGAGCTTGATCGGCCAAGAAATAAAAAAGTCTTTCAAAAAACACACTATCAAGTTTTATTAATATTATTGACCCTGTACTTAGTGTCCTGAGCGATCATTCGGCAGAAAAAGACCAAAAGGTTAGTTTATATGGAAAAATGATAGTGAACTTACATAGGGAACCTTCTCTTGTTAGTCACAAGGGAAGGTTCCCAACCTTACTTGAGGGATTTTGATGAGACATAGCGCAAACGATAGGACCAAGCTTCCATATCAATGGACCAGTGCCTTTTTCCTGTAAATTCAGTGGTTCCTTAGATTGGGATTAAAGTTGAGTCATTTTTGTCTTAAACAAGATTAAAATTTTAAATATCAAGTGGGTGCGGTGGCGCAAGGTTTGAGTGACTTACAAAGAATTATGGTATTTTTGGTTCGAATCACGTTTGGGGCAATTTTTATGAAAATTTTTTCGATATTTTTTTGATTGATTGTCAGTTTCAAACTGTTATCTATCCATTAAAAGGTATGAAGATTCTAGAATCGAGTTAAATCTTACAGATTTCTGTTGCACAGGCAAAAGTTGTGCTAAAGTTATCTTCATTGTTTTCAGTCTTTGTACAGTAATATTGACTGCTGATATGACTTTGTGCAGTCAAAGAAACACAGACCATTTATTGCATTGGCAGCAACAAGTTGGATGCCCAGAACTAAGATCAATGTTTAGTTAGTCAATTATATATTTAGATTGACCATAGATGAAAAATGGCTGACAATATTTATTAATTTATTAATTGAACTTAAATTTGATCCATCGATTGAAACCTTAACCAACAAGCAGAAGTAATGATCAGAGTTGTCACGAGAAGTATTGCTATTCGAATAGAGCCATAGCCTCTATCAGGCAATGTGATGAGGTGATTCTCATTTTTCTGATCATTAAAAATCATATGAATAATTAGTTCTCATCTAGAGCCATTTTCATTTTGGTTTAATTCCAAACTTTTCCCATTACTTTGTAACTCAACTCAATTTAATTGACTTTCAAATATTAGTCTTTGGTGTTGTATTAACTATTAGTAAATTAATCAACCAGTCTCGTCTAATCCTCCGTTTCTCTCGATTTCACCCTGTAAACAAGCTTTAAGTTGATCTAAAAATTATGCACTTTATTACCATGCGCAACGTAACATCACCATAGTTTTTATTAATTTGTATTTTGTTCACATTCCAATTCTTTGCATAATTCAAAACATCAGGCTTCAAGTTTAAATCATAACTAAACTGCATCTCCATCTGCTGCATTAATTCGGGGTGAATGATTATAGTTGCAAATAGTTCTAATAGATAGCAGCAGTCTAGATTTGTTCACTGATTGGTTGGAATTTAAAACAGTTTCATCAGTAAGTTGAATACGTTTGATTGCATCAGATGTGTTTGTCAACTTAGTTTTTTAATCAAAATCTAACATGTCGCGTCCTTCTGTGCTTCCACTCGTGCCTTGTGATGAAAAGAACCTCAACAGGAAGAACATCACATAGTTATGTAAATCAGTTAACTAACTGTCTACTCGAAGTTATATGATAAAACAAACTCGGGCTTCGCCCTCGATAGTAAATCATATAACTTCTCGTCGCAGTTAGTTAAATAATACTTATTCATATGATTTTGTAAAGTTTGATGAACAAAAACATGGATAACACATCAGTGAGTGAGTGATCCCATCACAAGTGAGCCCATATAAAACAGACTTTCAACAGAAAATATCTTTAAGATCATGAATTAATGCAATTTATTTACAATTTAATTTATAATGTAAAATAATTTTAAGTAATTGGAATACTTCGAACGCCGTACATTCTGTGTTTCTTGAACCACTTTACCAACTTGCGAATCTTTATGATGACTTCTGATAACCTGATAAATTCAAATGTTAAAAACCAGTTCTTAGTCATCATTTTCTGATTGAAACACTACCAACATCGTATTTAGTCCTAAGTTCTTTCGAAAGTGGAGAGACATAATCCTAAGTCTTATATGTCGCTCCTTTGCTTCCTTCTGGAACAGTTAACCAATTTGTTAAACTTAGCAAATGGATAGTTAATATCAAACTGAATAATCTTTGTTATCCATTTGCTAAGTTTCCATCGCAAAGCAAGAAACAGTTGACTCTGGATAGGCGATTCTTATTGATGAACATCCAGTTTGCTCTGGAAAGGTAGGTGTCTGTGTTTCCCCTTAGCTTTTCCCTCAGCCAATTCTCTTCCTTTGGCTCGTCTCTCAAGAAAGCAGTCGATGTTCTTCCTGTTGAGGTTCTTTTCATCACAAGGCACGAGTGGAAGCACAGAAGGACGCGACATGTTAGATTTTGATTAAAAAACTAAGTTGACAAACACATCTGATGCAATCAAACGTATTCAACTTACTGATGAAACTGTTTTAAATTCCAACCAATCAGTGAACAAATCTAGACTGCTGCTATCTATTAGAACTATTTGCAACTATAATCATTCACCCCGAATTAATGCAGCAGATGGAGATGCAGTTTAGTTATGATTTAAACTTGAAGCCTGATGTTTTGAATTATGCAAAGAATTGGAATGTGAACAAAATACAAATTAATAAAAACTATGGTGATGTTACGTTGCGCATGGTAATAAAGTGCATAATTTTTAGATCAACTTAAAGCTTGTTTACAGGGTGAAATCGAGAGAAACGGAGGATTAGACGAGACTGGTTGATTAATTTACTAATAGTTAATACAACACCAAAGACTAATATTTGAAAGTCAATTAAATTGAGTTGAGTTACAAAGTAATGGGAAAAGTTTGGAATTAAACCAAAATGAAAATGGCTCTAGATGAGAACTAATTATTCATATGATTTTTAATGATCAGAAAAATGAGAATCACCTCATCACATTGCCTGATAGAGGCTATGGCTCTATTCGAATAGCAATACTTCTCGTGACAACTCTGATCATTACTTCTGCTTGTTGGTTAAGGTTTCAATCGATGGATCAAATTTAAGTTCAATTAATAAATTAATAAATATTGTCAGCCATTTTTCATCTATGGTCAATCTAAATATATAATTGACTAACTAAACATTGATCTTAGTTCTGGGCATCCAACTTGTTGCTGCCAATGCAATAAATGGTCTGTGTTTCTTTGACTGCACAAAGTCATATCAGCAGTCAATATTACTGTACAAAGACTGAAAACAATGAAGATAACTTTAGCACAACTTTTGCCTGTGCAACAGATTTTATGAAATACAGGCACAAATCGATTGATTGAGAGGAAAACAATCGTTACTGGATCTAGTAACAATTGTTACCTATCAATCAGTCATTTTTCATCTATGGTCAATTTGGTCCGATAAATGTGGCTTTCTATCTTCAAACATGATTCATGTCTAAACATGATCAAAGATAATAAAAAATTGTTCTGCATTAAGTTTTTCAATGTTGCATTTTCTGTTTGTTGATATGTTGTTTTCGATAAATTTTATTAGCGTTGGCATAATTGGCTAGAATAGCAAATAGTAAATAGAAGTTTACCAATTCGAGTAGCAAAAATTATTCTTAAACTTGATACATGCAAAAGAACATTGATAGTTATTACAATTTTTTTCGATTTTTTAAAATAAATTACATTTTTTCAACTATGTTATGCATGGTGTAGAAACTAACTTATTGAGTAATCGAGCTTGTTGAAAACAATGTAATGCTTTTGTAGGTTCTCACGGTAATTTGACATAATAGGTGATTTGCAAAGAGTAATCAGGACTAATTGGACTAATTGAGCATTATTAAAAGATTAACAATAAATATATTAAATACAAGATGCCCAGATCTCACAGTAGCTAATATGATTTCATCAAGTGAAGATGCCCTTGCTATTTTTAATGCTAAAATATCTGTGTATAAATCATTTCTCGCGACTTTACGAAATGATTTAAATCAACTTGAAAGTAAGTATTTTAATTTCCTATGTGATACAATATATAGTGAATCTTAATGATTGTTTCAGACCCGAACTTATTGGAAAGGATATCAATGGATCAATCATCCCGAAAAACTACAGAATTATCGCAAAGATCACAACCAGAGTCACCTCAACTATTATCACCATCATCACCATCGAAAAGCACAGAGAATTCAGGAGAAATCAGCCATTTAGCGCAAGCGATCATTAACGATCTATTAAGCGATGAAGAATTAGATATTGAGCTAGGTAAGTTGATTTGGATATTTAATGCTATAATCATCCTAATGCGACTATTGCTTGCTAAACTCAAGGTGAACCCTCCATCGAACGTGCTCGCATTTCAAGATCACCCAAGCCGGGTACCTCACGTGGCAGAAAAAGGAGAAATGTTGACCCTGTGGATCTCAGCTCACTCTGGAAAAATTTGGGATCATTCAAAGAATTCGACGAGTATTGCAGCAAAAAAATTGATGCTGACGATGATAGAAATTCTTTGATGCAATTAATTTATGTGATTGTTCGTACTCTCTTGAATATACACCCATCATTGGCTGTTGGCCCAATTGATGAGGAAACCCTGCAAAAAGATAAGTTGAACGTACTTACGGCTAACAAAGGTGATTGGTCAAAAAAATTTTATTTTAAACTCATGGATGAATCTGGCAAAACTTATTTGCGAGAGGAAAAAGATAAAGAATTGCATAACAAATATTTGCGTGACAATCCTGTACGTGACAACAAGATACTGATACAAGATAAAATTCGATACATTGATTAATCAATCTATCGATTGATGCTAATCTCACTACTCTCTCCTCCTTCTTTATTTTACAATTAATTTACTTGTTGGATAATGTTGTTTAATGGACTTGTTAATGAAATAAAGTCGATTCAATTGCGTTATGTTATTATTTAAATAACTGTGAAGACTTGATTCTGTGAAAAAAAAGAAATTAAGAAAATTAATTAGCATCGATATTAGATACAAAAGCAATTCAAATTTACCTTCAGCGTCAAAACTGTCACTTTCTGACTGCGTATCCATAAGAGAATGTCGATTATTTGAAATATCATCCAGTTCCTTGACTAAATAAGAAAATTTCGGTCTCTCCCATGAGTTGAATCTCCAGCATCGTCTCATCAGCTTGTGAACTCGATTAGGGCACTTTGATGGCTGTTCAAGTCTATGGCCTTGCCTCAGCAAAGTGTAAAGGTTACTTTGGTCAACCTCTTGATATGGTAATAATCCGAGAGTGAATATTTCCCAAAGAACTACTCCGAAAGACCAAACATCACTGGAACTGGAATAAATTTGATAAATTGCTTCAGGAGCCATCCATCGCACTGGTATAACACCTTCAGTGGTTTTCCGGTAATAGTCAACAGATTGAAGAATTCGAGCCAGACCAAAGTCAGCAATTTTCATAATATTATCCTCAGCAACCAAAATGTTACGAGCAGCAAGATCACGATGAACGCATCCTTTAGATGCCAAATACTCCATTCCTTGAGCAATCTGAGATTTAAGAATAGAAAATATAAATATTAATAGAAATAACTAACTAAATTCAAAGATGCATTAAATGGTAACAAACCTGGAGTGCAAATGAAAGGAAATCTTTTGGATAAAGTTGCTTATCGTTGTCGAAATTAACTGCGTCAGGTCTATGAGATTGAAGAAAGTCGCGCAAGTTACCACTATTTGCGAGATCCAGAGTTTCCGGCGGTCCACCAGCAGATTTTACCGATATTGAACAAGCGCGGCGGCAAAAAATTGAAGGCTGGTCCAATGACAAACGAGATTACTTTCTTTCCAGGGAATTGGTTTGAAATCGCACATTGCTGAGCATGGATGCGCTTATGGAAATTTATCCTGTTTTGTTGCTGGATCTCAATATGAAAAACATATTTGCCGATCGCACCAACAGCATCCGGTCGAATAACATTGGAACCATGAATATTGGAGGCCTCGCTCATGACGCTAAAATCTCTAAAATATTCCAACTTGTCATCTATCTTGAAAAGTTTGCAATCAAAATGGGCAAGAATATAATAAACCAGCACAGTGAAAAGGTGGTTATCATTTTGAAAAGCCAATTTAAAATTCGTATCACTAGACATTTTTTTGTAAAGTTTTGGAGACTGAAAGATGAGAAAAAATTGATTATTAATTTGGCATCGCAAATTCAGGATAAAACTTTCGATACAAAGGAGTGCAGATAAAAGAACTCACATGCTTTTTTTTGCAGGGCTAGCAGGGCGCTTACGCCGAAGATTATAAGAATGCACAGAGTACTGATCAGATTGTTCAGACTGATCACCGCCAACCGTTGCCTCGTTCCCAGCTTGATTCATAATTCCTGATGGCTGGCTTTGCAAAAAAGAATGCTCCTCCTAGATTGGAAAGTTACGCCAGTGAAGATTGCCTCGGGAAGAAATGAGACGGTGGTCATGGTGGAAGTTGTATACTAACACCTCAGTAAATTGAAATCCAAACACGAAGCTACCATTCAAGATCTTGAAGAACGTCTTTCAAACGACACTCAGGTAATTATAATCATCCATAAGCTGCAGAAAGGGAAGATATGCTTCATACATAATTTTACATTATCTAAAGTCATGTATAATGTAAAACCAAGTCGAAATACATGACTTTAGATCATGTAAATAAATAGATAAAGTTAAAAATTAAAATTAAAAGAAATTACTTACTGATTATAAATCCAACAAAAAAATGCCAAAAGGAAGAATGCTCTTTCTATCGTTCAGATGTTTGATTTAAAAATAGTGAACAGAGAAAGAATGCTCTTTCTGTCAAGATGCTGAAATTTTCTGAAAAAAGAAACAAATTAATCAGATAACATTATAAAAAAAATTTACTCTTTGTTGTTGCAAATTCTGTACTTTTTAAAGTACAATGTTTTTGCCACCTTCGCCAGGAATAAAATCGGGGCAAAAACTTTACAACAATCAATTCAACAATACCACAAATGGACATTTAATACAATTGTTTTTATTGTGACAAATTCAGTCTTTATTGTTTTTCATCAAATCAATTGAGTATCAGTTAGTCTCAATTCAGTTATGGAGTATTGTCTTTTTTATCGAAACCGAGGACTACCTGCGAAACAAGATAAACGATGGAAGGTTTGTCCTGTTTCAGAAATTCGTCCATTTCCTCCTGCCACATGTGTTAAAGCATATGATAGAATTTTGGTTAAAGATAGTCCTCAACACATTTGTTTTGCTTACAAATTCGGTAAGTATATTTATATTCTATTATATTCTATGCATCAGTCCCTTCAGAAGCGACTCCACAACTTATTTAGGCCACAGCTGAGTTGTGACTCTCAGATCTATCTTATCATTTGGAGCACGTAAGAGTTTGATCGCCTCAAAAGTTTTTCGTTAAAAATCAGCAAGTAAAGCTACTTCACAACATTTTCTACAAATAAATTATGGAGTTACTTCTGCAGAGTTTGGTATAATCAATAACTCTTAACTAATTACAATCACTCTTCTATTCAAAACAGGAAAGCAAGCGACTCTAAGGACATATGCCAGCAAAGTTCAGCCAACAATTGAAAAGAAGATGCTCGAAAAATACTCGTCGGAAGAATTGGGCGAAATTACATTTGATGATCAAGAAGAAGTTGAATTCGAAATCGTTATAGAAGAGAGCAGTCAAAAACGTGGCAGGAAAAGCAAACGGCCAATTAGACAAGAAACATCTGCTCCAACTCCAGGCACCTCCACCGCAACATCACATTCGAATCAAGCCCAGGATAATCAACGCCTTGAAGTTGACATTCCTGGTGACGTTGAAAGATCACAGCCAGAGTCACCACAACTATTATCACCATCACCATCATCATCGAGAAGCACGGAAAATTCAGCAGGAATCAGTCGTATTTCAAGATCGACAAGCCCGGGTACCTCACGTGGCAGAAAAAGGAGAAATGTTGACCCTGTGGATCTCAGCTCACTCTGGAAAAATTTGGGATCATTCAAAGAATTCGACGAGTATTGCAGCAAAAAACTTGATGCTGACGATGATAGAAATTCTTTGATGCAATTAATTTATGTGATTGTTCGTACTCTCTTGAATATACACCCATCATTGGCTGTTGGCCCAATTGATGAGGAAACCCTGCAAAAAGATAAGTTGAACGTACTTACGGCTAACAAAGGTGATTGGTCAAAAAAATTTTATTTTAAACTCATGGATGAATCTGGCAAAACTTATTTGCGAGAGGAAAAAGATAAAGAATTGCATAACAAATATTTGCGTGACAATCCTGTACGTGGAAACCCCAGCAAGCCAAAGATATGTGCGGGAATTCCCAATTTATGTGATTATGGAACTGGAAAAAAGGCGGGAAAAAGTGATGGTGTCTTAAAACATGTTCGAAAAGTTTTGGGCTACAGGAACCAATGCATTTATTGTGACAAATTTAATTACGATTATGAAGATATGAAAAGCCACTTTATAAAAATGCACTGGCGCGATAATGGATTCGACGAAAGACCAATAAAAGCAAAGGGAAAAGATAAAGAAAAAGTCCCATTATCGCAAGAATTTCTTACAGATGAAGAGTATCTTTTTTATCTTTACCAACGCCAGTTAGCTCTCCTTCATAAACTCTACCAAAATAACCCTGTCCAACAGGCTTGTGTAACTTCAATCTTTCTCGTTGGATTTCCCACTTTTGATAAACTAGAATATTCAGCTCCACGGTCGGATCAGCAATAGAATTCACGGGGTCTTCTGAAATGTTGTTCCTTAGAATGAGATTTTTTTTTATCACTTTTAAAAGGCAAAATATGGAACAAATAAATGACCCAGTGAGGATTATACCGATGAGGAATAACTGATTTACAACGAAAACTACTTGGTTTCTGTGTGAAGGCGCATTAACAGTGACCTTGAAAAACTTTACACTTAGATCACCTACTTTTTTGCACTTGTAAGAACCAGCATCTTTCTCGGATATATTTGGTAATCGGAAGAGGTAGGTTGCTCCATCCTGTACTAGTCTCCATTTCTCACGTTCCTCTTTGAACCAGAAAGCAAGTTTCAAGGGATTTGATTTTTTTACACAAGATAAGACCAGGTTATCGCCAGCATCTAGTTTAAGATGAGAGACTTCACTGGGTCTGCATTGGACTAGATTGAGATAAATTAAGAAGAAGATCGAAAACGACACTTTAAACATCATTCAGAAACTTAAAAAGTAAAGAAACATGAAGCTGGGACCAGGGGAATAGCATTGTGCAAAAGATTTTGCAAACAAGTTCAAATTATATTGGTCTGTCAATAAAGCAATTTTTAAGCTGTTATTAACATGATGAAGATCTAAACAAGAGTTGGTTTAAGATGATTAGTAAACACGAAACCCATATTGGCGCCAACACTATTGTGTCGAGTTACAGTTATGTTTGTTGGCGCCACCTACATTTATAAAAATTATTATTAAATTGATAGTCCATTAGAGTCGGGCAAAATAGCAACAGATCCCCACCAGAAGTTAGATTATAGCACTCGAATCGACAGTTATATCGATTCGAACAAGATAAGTCATGTTTAAATAATGCTGCTCGCAAGATAGCCTAAGGATCTAACTCTCATTCCACAAAATTATCATTTGATTGCGTTTACAGTATTTCCCTGAGTTTTGTGTTTTTTGGAGTGCTGACATCTATGTGAACTACAGGTGGAAACAATTAAAATTTACAGTTTAAACAATTAGTCCATCACCAATGACTCCCCCTGCATGGAAAAGGGTGGAAAGGCTAAAGGGGAATCGCTAAACTGTAATACTAATTGTTTAAGCTGTAAATTTTAATTATTTCCCCCTGTAGTTCACATAGATGTCAGCACTCCAAAAAACAAAAAAAAACTCAGGGAAATACTGTAAACGCAATCAAATGATAATTTTGTGGAATGAGAGTTAGATCCTTAGGCTATCTTGCGAGCAGCATTACGTAGCTGTAATGCTTTATGGAGTGGCTGTAGACCGATTCAATCGAAAAGCGGCCTGAATTTTGACGATGACCTTTTAAACAGCACTTCAAAACAAAAATAAAAGTTGAATTGTAAATTTAAAGCTGATTTAAATAATATTTTCACGAAAAAAGCGATCGATTACTAACTTATCGAAAAATTATTCCAAAATAACTCGTGCTCAAAATGACGCGAACAACCTAATAGTAGAGATGGCAGGATCGGTGATTTTCAAGCTCAATCTTCGGATCGAAAAAAATTAGTAAATCATAAGAAGTCCTAGTCGGCTCACTTCTCTTCTCATTAGTCACAGCTAGTTTCGGCCTGACCCGAGTGGCTAATTAAAAAACTCAATATTTAAGATTTAAATCTAACAATTTACTTTGTTATTCACTTAATTGAAAGATAACAGCAATTCCACAGGCTTAACAAACATGAGTCTCGTCTTAATTTCAGTTTTCCTGAATTCAATGATCAAATGATGCAATTTCATGTTTAAAATGCAGTACTGATTCGAAATGATCTCTGAGTCGTTGAAAAAATTATTCACAGTTACTACGATGATTTAAATATAATGGACTAGGCTGTATAACCAGTTTAAGCGTTAAAGTTAACTCTTGGATATGAAGTTATTTTATTAGTCACATTAGAAACTAGCCTGTGGGTTAATGAGAAGAGAAGGGGAGCCGACAAAGGACGTCTTATGAATAAC